TGTGAACATTTGTTTTTTAAAAAAAACGAATATTAGTTGATGCTGTGTCCTTGAGTAAGGTAATCAGGTAATTCAGGTTTCTAGAGGGTATCAGATGGTGATAGTTGACCCTCACAAGATTGTGTTCGATTTTGTAGCGATGAGAAATAGAGCTGGTGTTGCACCTGTGGTCTAGAGTTTGTCAATTAAGAGTTTTTAACATCTTTTATACACTACTGGTGTAATTATAGTCATTAAGTTCAAATGTCTGGCAGCTGAAGTTTTTAACTTTTTCTTATTTGTTAACCAGATTTTTTTTTTTTTGCCAATGATGCCAAACCTTTGGAACGGTATTCCTAACTGGGGTCTTAAATATAAGTTTTATAGGCAGTTTCTTTGACCTTTTTGGTGGAAGTTTTGACATTTCTTTTTATAAAAAGAGTGAATTATTTACTTTTGCTGTAATATTATAAATTAATATTGGTAAGCCCAAGAATAGATCTTAAACTTACGCCGAATTAGTTTGGCCAGCTTCGCGTGGATATTAGTTTGTGTGACCCACCAATACTTGACTGTTGGCTTACTGACAAAATCTGAAACAACTGAACTTCCATCCCGGCAAAAAACGACCTGATGATTTGCATCAGTTTAGCAGTAAAAATGTAATAATATTTTTAATGGACTTGTCCATCTTACAATCTGGACATGATTAATATTGGCCAACACCGTAGTGATAGGACTAACATTTAGTGGTGTCTTCTCTGATTTTTCGGGTAACGGGACGGTATGGAAAATAGACGCAAATATAATTGGAAATCATAACATTTATCTTTTATCATAACACCGTATTGACAGCTCGGCAACTTTACGGAAAGAAACTGTTTTTTCATTGCGTTATCATGAAATTTATATTTGGATATGTTTTAAAAATATGTTAACAACGGAATTACAATACACATCTAATCCACCAATCAGGTATGTATGAAATAATTTCATGAAGTTGCCATTTGTTGTTTCCAATACCCCCACATGAATGACAGACTATTCTCTCCCTTACCAGTTCCTCTCCCTGACGGTTCTCTCCCAAACCGTTTCCTCCCCTGACGGTTCTCTCCCAAATTTGAAATATGCAGACAGTTCTCCCCCAATTTTTATTTGTAAGTTATCATTTTAGTTTTGACTTAATCTCATAATATTTCTTGAAGATTTTAAAAGAATGTATTTGATATTAAGTAAAAAAGTGTGTAATTGATTAAGGAAAATGTTTGTAACTTTAAACACCTTTTAAGATAATTTTTTAATCCTATTAAACCTTCATTGTGAGAGGTTTAAGATTATGGACAGTGACTGATATACATACAGCTGTCATTAATGTTAAGGTCTACGGCTATTCATATTTGTTAAATAGCGAATAAGGTGGTAAACAAGTATGTATTATAGAAAAGTAAATAAGCAACAACTGCTGGTATGCAATCACATAAATGAAATGAAAATAAATTCACATTTACTTTTATATACAAATTTGATTAAAGAACATGTAGTCATTGACATGAAACAATATATATTACCAAATAACTAATTTAAATATTTGTTTATCAACACCTTTTCACAGTTATTTAAATCATTAGATTACACCTTGATTTTGAATAATGAATTAATAAACACCTTAATTATCTCTGACAGCAAACTTAATGCACATGTGTATTGAACTCCTTTCTTCATTATACAAAAGTATGAAATTTAGCAATTAAAATTTATAAATCATGTTTTTTCCTTATAATTTTTTTTCTAATTTATTAAAAAAAAAAAACAAAAAAAAACCTCACCCAAATACACGGATTTTATATTTATATATAAATCCGTGCCCAATAATAAATACACATGTATTGATCAAGTAAAATTAAACACATTATTAAAAATATATGTTAGATCTAATAAAAAAATCAGAAATAATATACTACTAATATGCTACAAATATTTTTTTTATCTAATCTAATATCAAATTTAATTCATAAAACATGCCCATGTATTGAACATATAGGTACTCAAAATAAAAAAAAATTGTTCTCTTATTTATATCAATTATAATATAATAATTTGATAATAAACTTATCCATTTTTTAAACATCTAAATACTTAATAGTATTAATAAAAATAAAGATGGGGAGGAACTGTCTGCTAATTTGCAAATATGCAGACGGTTCTCCCCCAAAATAGGGAGAGAACCGTCAGGGAGGAAACGTCAGGGGAGGAACTGGTAAGGGAGAGAATAGTCTGACTACCCCCCCACATCCCCACAAAAAATAAAACATAAACAAAAAATCTGATTTATCGTGAGGTAACAGTTGCTAGATTCTAATATAAAAAAAGGCAAAACCTCAAAGCGAGCTCGATTTACTTTTATTACGGTGAAAATAGTGTAAAATGATCGTTTATTTTTATTTTACATTTTCCGTTTTAAAATTGTCATTCGGTATTTTATACACTGCTTCCGTTTATTCTGGTTCCCTGTCCTATTATGCTTCCCATATAAATGCGCAGGACACCAGTCTAACCTTCCGTTTTCAAACAGAATACCTCGGCTTTTATCGTTATCTTGTAATTTGAAAAGTTGCGATGTGTCAAATCAGTATTTCGGACGAAAGTTTGCAAAACCATCACTATCTAGCAGGTAATCGCGATACTGTAAAGCTCGCTTTGCGTGCAGGCCCTTTGGGCCAGCTCTTTGAGCTCGCTATGAATAACGCAAAGCCTCAAATCGAGTTCTTTGTAAGAAATTACAGTTCTAATACAAACATATTTAATATGAAATTAGGCAAAGCCTAATGTGAAAAAGGGAATCAGGGTCAGCTCAGCCCTAAAACGTACTCAGCTCAGCCCTTTTCCAACTCGGCACGGGTCAACTCCGCCAACTTTTCAGTTGTATATATTAATATATTGCTTTGTTTTATCACTCAATTAATATTGTCGAATGATTAATATATGGACTTATTTACAAACATGGAAAGATGTTTTCTTAAATTATTAACATACGCTATTATTACCAACCACGTGTATGTTCAGGGAAGGGTACAGATTAATCAGGTGATAATTATATGTTTGACGCAATTATTCAAATTTGATAAATAACCACCTGCAACAAATTAGAAGCTTATGATAATAAATAAAAACGCTTTTTATTTCATATTTTATTGAATATTCTAACACGACTCGCATTTTTTTTAATATAGAAGAACCGAAAGTGTGTGTTATTATGCAATAAAATCACTGTTGGCATTCTATATTTAGATTATGTGACATAATCATTATACATGTGACATAACCACTAAAAAATCTGACGTGCTAAAATAAGTATGGAAACAAATCAGGGGCAATTTTGCTTAATATCAGGTACGGCAGCATTTACTTGTTGATGTTGTGTTAGAATCAAAATAATATATCCAAATCAGTGATTTTATCACTTGATAACATCACTGTCGTTCGGATGCGCATCATTATATCACTCGGGCTAAGCCCTCATGATATAATTCCTCGCATCCTAACTCCAAACAGTGGTGTTATTGAGTGATAAAATCACTGTTTGGGATATATTATCTCTTAATTAACAAACAAAGAGCATCAAAGGAAACACATTTGTAGTATATCAATTTTTAACGAATCTGCAAGAAAAACATAAGGAATTTCTTCTAAATACACTTTAATTCTGCAGAAGTACAAGTAATAGAAAGAGCATCGAAACACGAGGCTATCTGATTTGTACGAGGGGGCATAGCAGGGCTTCCACTAGGAATTTTTTTTAGGAAGTCAGGACTTCCTTTCAAGGAATTTTGGAAGTCATGAGGAAAATTTCTGGAAGTCAGTTGTTCTTTCGTGTTTCAATGTTTGATTTATAGTATGGGATGATACCGGTAACAGCAATTATTTTAAGTATTAAGTTCAAGGTACCTTCACATGATTGATGGGTAAATAACTAGGAACATTTCCCTGAAAAGGACTGTATTGTTGTTATTTAAGGACAGCAGTAACCATGTAGAACCTTTCAGTGATATCATTCAAACATTTGCTAATTGGTATAACTGTGTATTAACAAAAAAAAAATTCCAAAAATAAGAACTTTATTCTTTATCAATCATGGTACAAGTACATATAAACATAGCATACAACTTACAAATTTAACAATCATAAATGAGAAGTACTACATGATCAAACATTTTTCAAACATTATAGTAAATGCATAACATAATGTTGTCTTAAGTGAATTTAAGGGTATGAATATATTAATAACAGAAAAATTATCAATACATGCACAGTATCATTTTCAATAATAAGAAAAATGCAGAGTACAAAAAATGTACCATCATTTTCTTTGTCTATTTTACAGAAATATGTACAGGCACAATAAAAAATCTTACTTGATTTATATTCTAGCTTATATTGTTAAAATAAATATTAATAAATAGTATAATTTGGTGATATTTGATAAATAATATTTACAAAAAAAGGACAGGCAAAGATAAAAAATAGTCAACAATCCATACTAAGTAAACCTATCTTATTAAATATTTTTTATTATATAGTATATTTAATTGATTACTTTGATATTGCCATTTGATTGGAATGAACTTAAAAAATCAATGAGGATACTTCTAAAAGATATTTACAAAATAGCATAGCCCCCGAGTATAAATCCGATTGCCGAGTGTTTTGATGTTCTTTCTCTTTTGTATCATAGTCAAACATAAAATCACGTTCCCTGATGCAACAATATGAAACCCCACAAAAAAGTTACCAATAAACGAGCATCTGAATATGACATTTCCATCGCTATCCATTTCTCTGTCGTCACCATATGTAAACCCTGGACAAAATGAACCAATCAATGGGCATGCTCTAGAGTGCGGGTAACTAATACCTGCACTCCAGTTAACGCACTGTGCATGTATATGTATACGATTTAACTCTGTCACATTTTCAACAGAAAGGTCCCCAACTATGATACAATGTACAATTATATAATAATAAACCAGATATCTCTTATTTTGTCATTGAATTTGTCATTTTTTTGGCCTTGACAACATGCAAATAATCGAAAAAAAAGTTAAAATATTTAATGTGTTTTTTTTAAAGAGGGTCGAGTTGACCCGTGCAGAATAGACCTATGCCGAGTTGGTATAGGGCAGAGTTGACTCTTTACATGAAAAAGGCTTAGCCTCAAAGCAAGCTCCTTTTACCGTGAAATAGTATAAAATAATCATTCATTTTAATTTTACATTTTCAGTTTTAAAAGTGTCATTCGGTATTTTATACACTGCTTCTATTTGTTCTCGTTCCCTGTTCTATTATGGTTCCTATAAAAGTGCGCAGGACACCAGAGTATGCATCCTGTTTCAATCAGACTGCCTCAGCTTTTATCGTTGTCTTGTAAATCGAAAATTTGCGATGTGTCAATTTCGCGCTTTAGACAGAAGTTTTTAAAACCATCACTATCTAGCAGGTACTCGCATTACTCTAAAGCTCGCTTTGCGAAAAGGCCCTTTGGGCCAGCTGTTCAAGCTCACTATGGGGATGTCTGCAGAGTAATCGTTCATTTTCGCGTTTTAAATGTCATTCGGTATTTCATGCACTGCTCCCATTTTCACTCGGAACATTGCACGATTATTATTAATCTGAAAAGTTGTGATTGTTTTGTTATCGGATTATCCCACCAATTATCATGGAGTTACAATGAAAATGTCTGCGCCCAACTGGAACTGACTCTGAAAATTTCATTGATAGATTATAGAACTCTATATATTCTTTAATTGTTTTTCATTTGATTTTCTTTTAAATATACACCTGTAGTCTATAGCTGGGCAAGCCAAAGCACTGGCCCGCTTTGCGGTCCCGGCCTTTGGCTTCCCCATATCAAATCTATTTTGGAGGCTGCACACTTAACTACGTACAAGTACACCTTTACAGTAATGATTACATTATACTCGGTACTGTACAGTACACTTTACGTCCCACAATTCACTAAACTCTACCAAACACTATTTTTACTATTTTTACTTTCAAAATACGCCCATTTCATGTTTTATAATTTCGATATCTAAATTGAATCCAGCAGTCTGATAACATAAATTTATTCACTTAAAATCCAATTTTGGGACTAATAATTGCATTTCGCAATAAATAAATTTATTTTAAGATTTTTTTCTACCACAAAAAAATGCGTCCACGATGAAAAGACTTATTTCCCCTGCAATCGTAAAAAAAACAGTTGCACTGCATCTATTAATAAAATCATCTGTTTATTAAATGTTCTGCTTTTTGTCTGAGTTTCTGTTTCAAATAATGTAAAATAAATTAAAGTTACTTTTAAGTACACACTACACATAAATTCGCAGTCATACATTACAGTGTGTAAGCATGTCACAAAAGTGAAAACAAATACTTTAGCGTTATATTTCAAAAGGACTTGACATCAATTTAAATAAATATTGGTTTAAACATATTTAAGCTGGATTGCGAAACAAGTTCTTGCAACTTATATTAATCACTTTCGAGTCCACTTCCTGGAACCAACCAGTACTCGGGTGTCATATAGAGAAACATGGTCATGACTCGAGTAGGGCTCGAACCCATGATCTCTGGGTTGAGAGGCAGACACCTTAACCACTAGGCCACTGCTCCCCCTTAAATAAATATTGAATTTGAGTTTCTCTCCGTTTCATATTGATAAGTTCTAACTTCTTACTCCTCAATTAAAATATAACATGTAGTTGTACAGCATACTTTATAACAAAAAATAAAATGGTAATACCTATAGTAAATTAAAAGAAATAAATAGGTAAAATACATGTAGGCACTCAGATTGCCTAAATTCTATAGTGCTCTCATAAATATACATTATATAATTATGCAAAACACTCTAATATTGTTAAAAAGTAAAATCATATCCCACAATAAAACATATGAAATATATTGTTGCAATTGATTAGAAACATCTAAATATAAACACTTAAATATTTGTTATTCACACACAAGTCAGTGTTTATTTATGGAAGTTCCCGAACTTTATTTTAACCACCAATTTAATAAATATGTTAACAGCAAAAGCTATGATATTCCATTTTTTAAGACATGTTAAATAACTTTAATTTAGCTATCTCTGCAGTTTTAAATTACTACAATGTACCACTCTTGTTTATTTCAAACACCAATATCAGACCAGTAACTTGTCAACAACAAATGTTTAATGTCTACTTTTTAATTTTATATAAAACGCCATACAAATATTTTGTCTTTGGTACAGTTTTCTTAATAATGATGTCTACAACAAAAAAATATCTGGCCCAATTACATATACCACAGTGTACATTGAATCTACATATACAGTATGCTTGTCCTGAATCAATTTTATTCTGTGAGAGAGAAAGTCGACAATTTTGTGTAGAAAATTAATGTAAATGCAAATGTCATAGCTGTAATTCAAATGTAATAATCTATACAAATTATTTTATACATGCAGACCATGTGTTACTGTAAATGGTAGAGTTACAACAATGTAGATTTATATTGTAAGTTTATATTGTCGAAGATAATTTCCAAAAACCATTTGCTAAATGCAACTTTGTGGTTACAGAATTAGTTCTGTACTTAATTACATGTATATGTTTCCCTTTTTATGCCTGGAAAACATAGGGACAAGGTAGGGATCAAATAGATTTGCCGTTGTTTGTCTGGAATGGAATGTTGGGGCATAATTCTGTGTTGTATGGACACATTTTAAGTTCATACTTATATTTTTTTTTAATACATACATTTGTAAATTAATTAAACAGTATTATGCTTACAAAAACTATAAGCTTATTCAAATCACCCAGTTATTTTTAAAGGCCCATTTACTTATGTTTAGACAAAAAATATTGCTCCTGTTATTTTCAAATCATCATTTTGCGTAACAATTTCCAAAAAGTAAACGCATTAACTATATACTGTATGTATAGTTCAGCCATCTTTTGCTTTGTTTGCATTTTGGCAATAAGTACAATTATACAATATGGTGAATTAGTATTTTGTATGGAAGTCAAAATACCTCTTTCTTTACATTTTGCTTCCTTTATTCAATATATATGCAACTCTATTTTATATTTTGGGTATAAATAGGGATCTTACATGTATATAATTATCCTAATTGCATAATCACAATAATTATTATAATGATAAATCATTTTAAAACTTAAAATTAGCTTTAAGGGATTCCTGTTTTAGAGGAACGATTAAAAAGATTTATTTTTTAAAGCATGAATTTAAAAAAGAAATGGCTGACCAAATCCATAAAAGTTTAATCAGCCAAATGTACAAGTTGTATTTTGAAATTTAAATTTGAGAAAAATAATGGTCAAAGAAAAATAGATACTCAGGAATTGAAGGTAGAGAAATTGAGGATTTTTTGATGATTAATTTTTTTCAGTTGCCATTTCATTGATATAATTATAAAAATGTATTATGTTGTAAAAATTATTTTGATAAATTGTAAATTTGGCCTCACTTTAATATCTGTCTGTAAATTAGTACAATAGCATAGTGTACCATTATTTTCTCCTATTTGTACGTTATATTTTAACAATAGAGTTTAAATTGTCATATAAATATTTGTTTTATTTGGCCAACAAAAGAAAAATATTTAAAAACTGCACAAAAATTTGTTATAAACTATGCAAAAAAAGGTTTAGCATAATCATACTTTATCTGAAATGAAAACATTAACATACATGCACATGTATGATAATATAATACCTGAACCAAATACTTAATGATTGTTTTGCAAATGCATTTTTAAAGGTTTGACCATGCACCCTAATGACTGTTTTTAAAGTTCTGTCAGAAGTATATTGGTTGGTCTTGTAAATTATTTAATACTTTAACTGCATAGTTTTGATTTAATTATACTTTGAAAATATCAGATACCATGTGCCATAAGATATATTTGTATTTACTTTCACTTATCAAAAATAAAAATAGAAAAGGGCATTTCAGTTTTTAATTATTTTTTTTTAAAAATACAAGATTCTATGATTAGATTATTCAAATGATATATTATTACATCATGTTTATGTTGTATATTAGATAAAGGCCATTTCATTTATGCTAGGAGTCATGTTGTCCCCAGGCTTACTGATATAACCAAACAAAAAACACTTAAAACAGTTGGCAATATTTGATAATTAACTGGTTAAGTGTTTTTCAGTTGTAAGTTGGCACTGGATATAATTACTTATGTATGTCTTTCTCTTAATAAAAAAAAAAAAAAAAAAAACTCATTGAAAATTCATATTTATACGCAATACTGTGTAAGTGGTTAATTTTGCAACATGGAAATATTTGCAAATTTTGCAAATTGATACTATATGCAAATATTTGATTGCGCAAAAATTATTTCATTTTAGGCAAACTTTCTTCCATCATTTGAAAACATGTTTTCATACAGCATCTTACAATTGTATAAGTTTGACTGTTCCGGTACTGAGATTAATTTTCCTCATTGCTTGTTAAATGTTTACATGTAAGTTTGGTTTTAAAAAATCACAAATGTTTCAATGAAACAATAATGTGTTAATAACACAATATTTTATTCATATAACAAAAAAATGTTTCAAGATATGACAAAAAATGTGTGATCTGCCTCAGGTCCTTTATCAAACTAACAATGTATATTTCAAACAATTATATAAATGATAAAAGTATTAAAAAACTGGATAGAACAATTACAATAAAGGCATAATCTTAACATATACCTGCTTAATTAATGATATCACAAAAACAATATTTAATTCAAGAAAATCATATTTTCACAAATATTTCTGCATGTAAAAAGTCTATTTTTTGACATTCGCTAAATTTTTGTTGATGCATAAAATATCCAATAATACAGTATGCTGCGGCATGGCTGAGTGGTTTAATACGTCTGACTAGCAACACGATCCCTGTCAGGGTTCCTTAAAACAAGAAACTTCAAAGTCATAATGTTCAGCACAAACTAGTTCCAGGATTGGATTCCAGAGTGTGTCTATAAGCTAATAGCTTCCTACATGTACATAGTCAAGTAAAACAAATTTTGTTTAAACTATGTAACAATATGTACTCTATATCTATACATAAAACTTGCTGACCTGTACTTTTATAGGATTAGGCCAGTCTGCACATCAGGAAAATGTAGCAAGCTGAGTTTAGTAAGCTATTAAGAAGATTTAAGTACGGTTAAGTAAGCTCATATTAAGTACAGTAAAGACAGCTAACAAGTAAAGTTTAGTGAACTAGCAAGTAGAGTTAAGTGATCTAGCAAGTAGAGTTTAGTGATCTAGCAAGTAGAGTTTAGTGAGCTAGCAAGTACAGTTAAGTAAGCTAGCAAGTAGAGGTAAGTGAGCTAGCAAGTAGTGTTAAGTGAGCTAGCATGTAGAGTTAAGTGAGATAGCAAGTAACTAGCAATTAGAGTTAAGTGAGCTAGCAAGTAGCTAGCAAGTAGAGTTAATTGAGCTAGCAAATAGAGTTAAGTGAGGTAGCAAGTAGAGTTAAGTTGTCTAGCAAGTAGAGTTAAGTGAGCTAGCAAGTAGAGTTTAGTGATCTAGCAAGTAGAGTTTAATGAGCTAGCAAGTAAAGTTAATTGAGCTAGCAAGTAGAGTTTAGTGAGCTAGCAAGTAGAATAAAGTAAGGTAGCAAGTGTTGTTTTTAATTACATGTACAACTGACAAAATAATGGAATTTCGGGGCATCATTGTTAATATGTATTAGCAGATAGACTTTATACAATGTAGAATTAAATTTTTATCGTTGTAAGTAGAATTTCTTGAATAAAAAAAATGTTTTTTATTTGTATATTTTCAGATAGTATTTATAGAATAAGAATGAATGGGGGAACTAGCAACATGAGCCGCCTGCTTGCCGATTATGCAGTACTCAACCAGGGCACAGATGATGAACTTGTAAAATATAATTATATAATAATAACTTCTTATCTTCAAGCTTTAATTAATTAGGGGAGATTTGAATTATTTTAGTCTTCATATTTTATATGAGTTGAATCTTTTATTGAAAAATAATGGTTTCAAAATAAAAAGTTTAATGTTCCTTAAAGCAGTGCGAAGTTGTAGAAACAAAACCCCTCCTATCTTTTAATACACATCATTTTCAAGTTTTGTATGGTTTATTGGGAGCACAAGCACCTGTTACTTTAGATCACTGTGTTAAGGGTCCACAAAATCTGATTTTAATTTACTTGTCCGTTTTTATTTGAAGCATTTCTTAATTTGTCCTCTGAAGCATTTTCCAAATTTGTCCGTATGAGATTACATGTATATAGTAAATTATAGGAAATTTCCACTTGTGCATACAGTCTGTGGGACAACCTGGGCAAAATGATTTTGCTGTCCCCGACTGTATGATTTAATTCAACTTGTAAATATCTTTTTGTGAAGACAAGGAAGTAGAGGTGCTTTCCCACTGTGAGTTTGTGTCATTTAAACATCATTTTAAGGACTGTCAAGACTGCTTTATTATATCATGAGGCTAACCTTTTGATTTTTGAGCCAAAATTCACCGTATGAATATAATTACCTTAGCTGTTTTAGGATTTGAAATCCAACCCGTCATGAAAATAGTTATACTCGAGCTTTTCTCATTCAAATAGAGTACAAATATGGTAAAATTATTTTTCATTTGCTGTGTAATAATTTATAACATATTATTAGATAATTATAAAAATTTGACAGGTTATATGGCCCTATGTACAGTAAATGTTTATTTGGATTTATGGCAAGGATATTGTATTGCTAAAGAAGCATTAAAATATGGCCATTTAACCTATCAAGAATCTTTGTAATAAATATGCATACATTGTAAATCAGCAAACTTCATGTATACAGGAAAAAAAAGAGAAATAATTCTTAAATTGACAATGTTTAAATATATGTCATGGATATCCAATAAATATTGATGTTACAAACATGCAGTATTATAAATTTACATAACAATATATGATCCGGGCCATGACAAAACCAACGTGCTGTGTTGGCGACCAGCATGGAACCAGACCAGCCTGCCCATCCGCGCAGTCTGATCAGGATCCATGCTGTTTGCTTACAAACCCTATAACAAGTAGAGAAACTGATAGCGAACAGCATGGATCCTGATCAGACTGCGCGGATGCGCAGGCTGGTCTGGATCCATGCTGGTCGCAAACCCACTATGTTGGTTTTGTCGTGACGCGGCTCATATATTTATTTTTCCCTCACAGATTTGTTACGGATATGAGGATAATAAAGTTAAGAAGTTTATCTTCCTGGTTCTGGTTGTTGTCACGTTTGGATTGATTCTGTTGTTATTGTACTGGAAACCTGAGCTCGAATGCTACCTCAAAAAATCTAAATGTGCTCTCTACAAGGCTGATACGGTGCTACTGGAGGTAAGTGGGGCGGGGTATGAGAAGCAGTTGACATCAACTTTTGGGTAAACTGTTGTGCACTAGTATTTCAGTTCGCAAGATTGCTACATAGATAGGTAACAAACAGATCTATGGAGCAATTGACAGTAATGAGAGGGTAAGACTATAAGAATCTTACACTGGCTACTGGTACAGACCGGAATATTTAGGTCAAGGGTATCTGTTTATGGCGGTAACAATGCTCTGCCGAGTTTCCGCTAAACAGTAACCCGAGAGCTAGATATTCCCGTCTGTACTGACAGCAGGTGTAGGTTTTTGATTCTTTTTCTTGCATATTACATATCAATTATTTTCAGAACAGATATTACGAAAACTGATATTCTCATTACGCACTTTTTTCTTAAAGTAGCATATGAACTTACAACTTCATTCATAACGGTAAAATGACGTCATTCTAAGAACGCAATTCATTCTTAAAAGGCGTGCGTCAATGACGTCATTTAAAGCATGCGACCTCTCTTACATAGGGGTGTAAGACAGGTTTTTCTAGCACCAGTGAAAACGGTAGATTGTCCTGTCTGATATGCAAGAATAAGTGGAATAATAGTACAGTACCCACCTAGATTTAAAGGATAGAAAATTTACTATCTTTTAGCAGGAACAGTCACATTTCATAAAAACTTTCCCCATACTTTTTGTCCCCAATAATATGAAAGTACATAATACAAATCACATTTTTCCCTGCCTAAATCAAAAAAATCGCTGAAATAAACTAAATTGAGGTAAACTGTGAAGTTTTGTTACATTAGACTTTGAAATTACAGTATCAGGTACCGTATTTGTTTATATAATTTAGCCAATTTATACCTATTATGATTATAGAATCAAAGTCAAACACTTTTTTCTTTTGAATACAAAACACTTTTTTCTATATATAAAAATCATCTGAGAGGTACATGATTATTATAAATTACATTAAAGAAAAAAAAACAGAAAAGAAAAAATGGCCGCCCTACAAGGGTTTGAACCTCAGTTTTATTGCCGTTGACAGTGTTCTAGCATATTTAAATACTCTTCAAAAGTGGAGGTAATGATTTAGGAGTTTGCTACCTTAAATCACAGCAGTTTATTGTTACAGTTGTTAAACATTGGCGTAGGAGACTTAGGAGCGTTTCTTTTATTCCTACAACAGTCAATATACCTCATGTATTTGTTTTTGTTTTATATTGACTAGAAATCGACATACTGTTGTTGTGTTGTGTATAAATGATTGAACATAAAAGAATTATGTAGGTGATATATAGATATAGGATATAAAGACAGGCCAACAGCTGTTACCTTACTGGAGTATATCCTTTGTCATTTGGGCTAAATACATAATATTATATGGTTCATGTTGTTAGACAACAAAAATATTTTGTTTCTTTACAACATAACTTTTTAGTTTTCTTTTTAGAAACAATGCAGTCAGTTAGTGGGTTTTACTCAATAATTTAAATGTAGTTATACATGTATTTTTTAAGTAAAAGCCAATGCCTTTTAAAGTCACAATTCTGGAAATTTAGCTTGGTAACTTAAGAAAAAAAAAAAAATTTAAACAGTCACTTTCTATAGATGATAAATTGTACACAGCACTAAGAGCCTCATTATAAGCACTTTAGTGACTGATCAGTCTGCCTGGAAACATTTAACAAGTATTGTCTTTATTTTTCAGGATCATTATCAACAAAAACATGTGTGTTCTATAAAAACTTTCAACCTTGAAGAAGAATTGTAAGTATTGAAACAGTATTATACAGCTGAGCCTATATTTTGACATGGTGCCATTAGTGTTACACAAATTCAAGATAATCTAAATTATAGCATTACAATATAAATATCATTATGTCAATGAAAAAGGTGATTCCTTTTTTTTACTGCAAAAAGTTCTTGATTTCAGTATGTGATAAATAGAATACTTATACAATGTCATGTATTTGTGTCATCAAATAAAATATAATTCTGATGGCCAGAGGCTTGTATAATATTTCTTTATTCGAATTGTTTAATAAATTGAATATATGGAAATTACTGTGCTTTATAGGATTTTGTACTCTTAGTGACTACAGTTACAGACAAAATTTATAATACATTTCCTCTTAGAAATGTTTATCTATCAGTTAAACTACAAGTTTCTCATGATTAACATAGATACAAGCATACACATATAATGGCATGAAAAAATACAATGACATGAGGCATACAATGTAGGCATAGGTTTTCATGAGACATATTTACATCATTTACAAGAATATATGAGCCGCGCCATGACAAAACCAACATACTGCGTTTGCGACTAGCATGAATCCAGACCAGTCTGTGCATCCGCACAGTCTAATCAGGATCCATGCTGTTTGCTATTAGTTTCTCTACTGTAATAGAGTTTGTAAGCGAACAGCATGGATCCTGATCAGACTGCGCAAATGCGCAGGCTGGTCTGGATCCATGCTGGTAGCAAAGGCATAATGTTGGTTTTGACATGGCGCAGCTCAATTGTCAGTTTTGAGTTAATTATTCAGTGGAACTTGCACATATTTATACCCCCAAAAACGAAGTTTGGGGGGGTATATAGGAGTCACCCGGTGGTCGGTCGGTCGGTTGGTCGGTCGGTCGGTCCAGACGTCCGTTGCATTTTCCTTGTCCGGAGCATAACTTGAAAACTAATGGTTGGAATTCAATATAACTACATACAATGGTCAAGCACATTGAGAGGAAGTGCAGTGCACAAGAACCATAACTCTTATCTTGACTAATTACAGAGTTATTGCCCTTTGTTACTTTTCCTTGTCCGGGGCATAACTTGAAAACTACTGGTTGGAATTCAAAACAACTTCATACAATTGTCAAACACAATAAGGGGAAGTGCAGTGCACAAGAACCATAACTCTATCTAAAGTAATTACAGAGTTATTGCCCTTTGTTGCTTTTCCATTGCTTTTTTTTTGTCCGTTGCATTTTCCTTGTCCGGAGCATAACTTGAAGACTAATGGTTGGAATTCAATATAACTACATACAATGGTCAAGCACATTGAGAGGAAGTGCAGTGCGTAAGAAACATAACTCTATCATGACTAATTACAGAGTTATTGCCCTTTGTTACTTTTCCTTGTCCGTGGCATAACTTAAAAACTACTGGTTGGAATTCACAACAACTTCATACAATTGTCAAACACAATAAGGGGAAGTGCAGTGCACAAGAACCATAACTCTATCTAAAGTAATTACAGAGTTATTGCCCTTTGTTACTTTTCCATTGCCTTCTTTTTTTTTGTCCAGACCATAACTTGAAGACTAATGGTTGGAATTCAGTATAACTACATACAATGGTCAAGCACATTGAGAGAAAGTGCAGTGCATGAGAACCATAACTCTATCTAAAGTAATTACAGAGTTATTGCCCTTTATTACTTTTCCATTGCTCTCTTTTGTCCGGACCATAACTTGAAGACTAATTGTTGCAATTCATTATAACTTCATACAATGGTCCAGCACATTGAGAGGAAGTGCAGTGCACAAGAACCATAACTTCATTTTGACTTATTACAGAGTTACTGCCCTTTGTTTCTTTTCCTTGTCCAGAGCATGACTTTAAAACTACTGGTTGGAATTCAAAACAACTTCATACAATGGCCAAGCACAATAAGGGGAAGTGCAGTGCACAAGAACCATAATCCATCTTGACTAATTACAGAGTTATTGCCCTTTGTTACTTTTCCATTGCTTTCTTTTGTCCGGACCATAACTTGAAGACTTATTGTTGGAATTCATTATAACTTCATACAATGGTCAAGCACATTGAGAGGAAGTGCAGTGCATAAGAACCATAACTCCATCTTGACTAATTACAGAGTTACTGCCCTTTGTTACTTTTCCTTGTCCAGAGCATGACTTGAAAACTACTGGTTGGAATTCAAAACAACTTCATACAATGGTCAAGCACAATAAGGGGAAGTGCAGTGCACAAGAACCATAACTCCATCTTGACTAATTACAGAGTTACTGCCCTTTGTTACTTTTCCTTGTCCAGAGCATAACTTGAAAACTACTGTTTGGAATTCAGTACAACTTCATACAGTTGTCAAGGACATTAAAAGGACGTGCAGTGCACAAGGGCCATAACTCCATTTTGACAAAATACAGAGTTACTGCCCTTTGATACTTTTCCTTGTCCGGAGCATAACTTAAAACGTACTGGTTGGAACTCAAAACAACTTCATACAATGGTCAAGCACAATAAGAGGAAGTGCAGTGCACAAGAACTATAACTCTATCTTTAGTATTTATAGAGTTATTGCCCTTTGTTCTTTTTCTTTGTCTTTCTGGACTTATTACAGAGTAATTCAATTAAACTTCATCAATGGCCAACCCCATTGAAAGGAAATGCAACATACATGAACCACAATTATCTTTAATTGCCCACAACCATAACTCTATGTTTCAATTCTATTACAAGGTATTCTGTTACTAGTTACATCCTCAATTCCGAAGCAGACTTGTGGGGGTTTTAATCACATTTAGTGATAGTTCTAGTTATTTTTCCCTTCAGGTCAGAGTTCAGTGATGCGTACAACAGGGATGAGAGTTCCCCAGAGAACCATACAGATGTGAATGATGTTGCTAGCCTTACTGTGCAACAGGTAGATTACTTTCATATCCCTGGTTATATAGAGAATATTTTTTATGCTCCCCGAAAAATTTCGGGGGAGCATATAGTCGGCGCCTTGTCCGTCTGTCCGTCTGTCCGTCCGTCCGTCCGTCCGTCTGTCCGTCCGTTGTCTTGTCCGGAGCATAACTTGAAAACCCTTGGAGATAATTTGTTGAAACTTCATACAGTGGTAGAGGGCATCGAGGGGGAGTGCAGTGTCAAAGAACCATAACTCTATTTTGCCCGGTTTTTGAATTATCTCCCCTTATAGAAAAATCTTGTCCGGGGCATAACTCTAAAACTATAAGAGATATCAACATGAAACTTTGTAGGTGAATAGATCTCAATGGGTAGATGTGCAGTGCATAAGAACAATAACTCTTTTCATCCTAATTTTGGAGTTATTGCCCTTTGTTAATTTTAATACTTTGAACTTTGTCCGGAACATAACTTGAAAACCCTTGGAGATAATTTGTTGAAACTTCATACAGTGGTTAGAGGGCATCGAGGGGAGTGCAGTGTCAAAGAACCATAACTCTATTTTGCCCGGTTTTTGAATTATCTCCCCTTATAGAAAAATCTTGTCCGGGGCATAACTCTAAAACTATAAGAGATATCAACATGAAACTTTGTAGGTGAATAGATCTCAATGGGTAGATGTGCAGTGCATAAGAACAATAACTCTTTTTGTCCTAATTTTGGAGTTATTGCCCTTTGTTTATTTTAATACTTTGAACTTGAACTTTGTCCGGAACATAACTTGAAAACCCTTGGAGATAATTTGTTGAAACTTCATACAGTGGTAGAGGGCATCAAGGGGGAATGCATTGTCAAAGAACCATAACTCTATTCTGCCTGGTTTTTGAATTATCTCCCCTTATAGAAAAATCTTGTCCGGGGCATAACTCTAAAACTATAAGAGATATCAACATGAAACATTGTAGGTAGATAAATCTCATTGAGTAGAGGTGCAATGCAAAAGAACCATAACTCTGTTAAGCCTCATTTTTGAATAATCTCCCCTTTTAGAAAAATCTTGTCCAGGACATAGCTGTAAAACTATAAGAGATATCAACATGAAACTTTGTAGGTAGATAAATCTCAATGGGTAGATGTGCAGTGCACAAGAGTCATAACTCTATCTAGCCTAATTCTGGAGTTATTGCCCTTTGTTTATTTTTACTTTTTGAATTGTCCAGGACATAACTCAGAAATCATAGAGATATCATCAAGAAACTGTGTAGGTTGATAGATCACATTGATTAGAAGTGCAGTGCAAAGAACTGTAACTCTGCCTTGCCTAATTTTGGAATTATTGCACTTTGAACTTTTTCCACGGACATAACTCTGAAACTGCAAGCGGTGTACTTTCCTGTGTCCAAAACCTATTCGGGGAGCATCACCCGGCTCAAACCGGGCTCTTGTTTAGTTCAGTGTAAGATCGGAATATATTTCACCGGGTGAGCACCAAAAGGTATATTTACTTACGAATTTTTGGTGTCCACGAGGTGAAATGTATTTTGATTTTACACTAAACTAAACAAATTTTCCTTTTATTATATATAAAGAAACATTTAAAAAGACATTTTAACCTAATACTAGATGAAAAGCACGCCAAATAATAATACAACATGACGTCATTTCACTGTTACAAAACAGTGAAAATATCAGTTTTATATTTCACTGATATATTTCTATTAAACACCGAAAAGCATGAAATAGATAATGTAAATGAACTGTTTATTTACCTGACAATTCTTAATTAAAGAATGGATAATTTAGTTGCATTTTTTGAAAGATAGAACTTCACTTTGATGCTTTTCATTAATTAAAATATTTATGCAGCAGTTATCCTGAACATGGCTGAAATGAGCAATACGGAGAACTATAGAGTAATGAGTAGTCACATTAGTACCCTTTTGTACTTGAATAATTTTTTTGTCCATACAAGGTGAACTTATTCCGATAAGTTTGATATGTCTTTAGTTATGAAGTTATAGAAATATTTGTAAATTAGTCAAATTGTGGATAATTTCTCAAAATATTTGTTGGTCAGTCTAAATTGTGAACAATTTCTCGAAATATTTGTAAATCAGTCTTGATTGTGAACAATTTTTTGAAATATTTGTAAATCAGTCTAAATTGTGAACAATTTCTCGAAATATTTGTAAATCAGTCTAAATTGTGAACAATTTCTCGAAATATTTGTAAATCAGTCTAAATTGTGAACAATTTCTCGAAATATTGTAAATCAGTCTAAATTGTGAACAATTTCTCGAAATATTTGTAAATCAGTCTAAATTGTGAACAATTTCTCAGAAATATTTGTAAATCAGTCTAAATTGTGAACAATTTCTCGAAATATTTGTAAATCAGTCTAAATTGTGAACAATTTCTCGAAATATTTGTAAATCAGTCTAAATTGTGAACAATTTCTCGAAATATTTGTAAATCAGTCTAAATTGTGAACAATTTCTCGAAATATTTGTAAATCAGTCTAAATTGTGAACAATTTCTCGAAATATTTGTAAATCAGTCTAAATTGTGAACAACGTCTCGAAATATTTGTAAATCAGTCTAAATTGTGAACAACGTCTCTTATTGTGGACAATTATGTATAATTTTTGTTGTTTACAAGAGTTTAACCTCAAGACATGATGCTTGTTTTGCTTTCAGCCTGATCCTATTATATGTTACTTTGACTTTCAACATGTAAGATACATCTGGAGTAAACATCTGAAGACTTATACCAGACTTCTGTAAGTATTTTATTTGTATTTCATAATGTAATTTCAAGGTGTATGAAAACTCTTCATAAAGGGAGATAATCTGGAGTAGACTGTTGATGTTCGGAGTTATTATCTGATGTGCAACAATAGTTTTCAAAAATAATTTGATTTTGGCAACACTAGTTTTCAGAAATAATTTGAATTTGGAAAGAGGCGTTCCTGGTCGAGTGGTTAAGGTCCTTGATTTCAAACCACTTGTGAAAGAAATAATGCATTGAGGGCCATTTTACTCTCAATTTTCTATACCAATGAAGCTGTCAAGTTGCCTTCATTGGTGTGATTTATAACAACAAATTGAAATATAGAAATTTGTATATGACTTTCACACTCATTTCTAGCCTAGAGTTCATGCATATATTCATTCCATCATGAAGTTTCTGCTATTCACCACAGAGTTTTGTTTTAATATGCTGTATATATTATCTAGATATACTGATTTGTTTACACAGGGACCTGTCTGCAAACACAAAATGTGGAGAGTTTCATGAGAAATATAAAGGTCTGAGTGTTTTACAGCAAGCTCACAGGTAAAATAACCACAGTTTTGTTTTCAAGGTCGTAAAAAAGTTTAAAGCCTTTAAAATAATTCGTGTATTGAGAATGCACCAGTCATGAAAATGTTCAGCACATATGGCTGATTCAATAAATATAACACAACTTTCTCTAATATTACCTCATATAAAATATAGGGATACAGTAAAATCTACTTATAGTGAACACGACTATAGCGAACTTCCAGTTATAAGAAACAACTATTTTTTGGGCCCGAAATTTTGCACTTATTTGATATAAATATATGCGGTTATATGTTCGCTATAAAATCTCCTGATACAAGGAACTAATTTGCTATATGCTTACAAAGAACTCCGGATATAAGGAACAGATTTTGAATCACCCAATGAGTTCGTTATAAGCTGATGTTACTGTTTATTTGTTAATGTTTTATAGAATGAAAAATATTCTGTAAAGGATAGTTATTATTGATAATTCAAATGAAAACACAAAGTCATCTGAATAGTTTTCAAAACAAATGATTCTGGCTTTTTTGATGTACAAATGATACACATTTATTTTGTATTTAATGTCTTTGAATTATGCTGCTCACTTACATGGTTTATTTACATGTATGTCATATATAATGATGTCATTAAACATCAATTTTAACAGATTTTCATGTTAAGCTCAGTTAACTTTATGCATGTGTACTAGAAATGTGTGATATACATTTGGTTTAAATGTAGGTTCTGTTTCTAATTTTTCCAGACGTGTTGTTTATGGTGAGAATTCTATAGATGTTGAAGTGAAATCTTATTGGAGGTTATTTATAGAAGAGGTATGATACTATAAATAGGTGTAAATTAGATTTCAGATCTTTTTGACTTGGTTCCTTCCAATAAACATTGATCGACTACTTAAAAAAATAAAAATAAACCTGTATTTTAAGAATTAACTAATTCCTTTTATAACCTTTTACTAACAACCCTTTATGTTAACAATTATAGTGTGCTTGGCACGGCCAGTTATGTGTCAATGTGCCATTAAATTCAAACAAACAAACAAACACACAAAAATAAAAATAAAACAAGTCATACATTGTACAAAAAGATTCAAATAATGCTAGTTTCTGTGACATTACTTTGATGTCATGAAAATGTTGTTTTTTACGCTTTCTACTTTTGATGTACATTGTTTCTTTCAATGTATAGAATGTCAACCACATTTTTGTATTTCACTCGGTTTTAGACAGTCTATTGTGAGTTATATTTCACTGGCATATTTGGTATCTCATTATTATATCAGCTAGAAAGACTTCTGACAGGTTATATGATCCTATATAAATGGTTGTTTTGAAATATAACCTTTACTGCTAGGTGATATAACCTGTTTATAACTCTCTATAAATGTAAATAGGAACGTATTAATCAAAACGCATTATCCAAATACCTCCTATTAATCGAAGTAAAATTTTTGTCCCAACTATACAATTATGACAGAATTTCACACCAATTATTTGAAGCCAGACTTATTGGCGCTAGTGATGTTCCGATTGTCGCAAGTCGCCGATGATCAGTTACTGTTATGTAAAACAACAATAATCGATTCACAAAAATTTGTTTCCGCGACGTCATCGAAAAATGTTTGAAGTATCAAAGGAATCAATTCTGACGGTAATTTTCTTTTAGGAACACCTCGCCGATCGCAAAAAAAAATCACTCAGAGACAATTTGGAGTTGAAATAAACAGGATCAATAAGTGATGTAAACAATAGTAATATAATTTGATGTGAAATTATAAATTATTTGATTTCCATTGAAAAATAAAATCTATTTCGTAAAATTATGACTATAAAGGTTAAAACTGTCTTGAAAATGCTAAATGAAGTTCATGATACTAAATATAATCAAGTGCCTTGGTAAGAAATGTTTACTTCCCTATTTCTTTTTTAACGCGGACTTTATTCGAAAGTTACCGATTATGTCCCATCCGACTGAACCGATGATCGATTGGAACAAATGTAATCCGATTTCCATCACTAATTGGCGCTGATTAACTCACTGACTGTCCAGACTTGTGAAAATTTTGCAACTGACATGCGTGTTTTAAGACAATCGTGATAATTACAGTACGCTTTGCATGCTCTTTTATTACCTAAAATTACATCGATTATTCGAAGTAAATTTTAAATCCCCTGTTCTTGGAATAATCAGGGTTAAACTGTAAAACTATATAAACGTCTTTATTATCTAATGAAAAAAGACGTTTCAACATGAAGTATTATAATATATTATAAGAAGAAGTGTATCATTTTCAGGTGCTGAATCCCTTCTATATTTTTCAAATTGCAAGCATCATTTTGTGGTCCCTGGATCAATACTATTACTATGCTGCCTGTATTTTCCTAATCTCCTGCATTTCCATGGGAGTGTCACTGTACGAAACTAAACGGGTAAGTCTGTATTTTACATGTAGCCTAACAATTTTAATGTCATTTTTAGCTCAACTGTTATATTAATACAATAGGGCTATCCAACTCACCTAGGTGTTGGTGTCTGCGTCACACATGTAGTTAAGTTCTTTGTTCCACCCCTCTGGTGTCGTCTCATTCTGCTTCACTGTACGAAATGGCCGCCCGAGCTATAAGAAGAAAAATCTTGCTCAGCTTTCACAGGCCAATCTGCTGGTGGGATTTCGACTAAACTTCACAGGAGTGGTCAGTAACATACATACATGTAGTTGTGAGCGATATATGTTTTTGTGTCAAAAAACCCTTCTAGTATATATTAGAAATCTTACCTAGATTTAAATACATATACCGAAACAAGACTTTTTATGCCCCCACAATGTGGGAGCATATAGCGTTGCACTTGTCCGTCCGTCCGTCAGTCCGTCCGTCCGTCCGTCCGTACGTCCCGAAATCTTGTGAACGCAACTCCTCTTAAACCGGATGGCAGATTTTGCTTAAACTTACAGGGATGAACAACCTTAATGTGTAGATGGTAGTAAAGGAAGGAATTTTTGCTGCGACCAAATTTTACAGAATTATGGCCCTTTGTTGATTTTTTCACTATATACTATGTAGAAATTTTGTGAACGCAACTCCTTCTTAAACCGGATGGCAGATTTTGCTTAAACTTACAGGGATGAACAACCTTAATGTGTAGATGGTAGTAAAGGAAGGAATTTTTGCTGCGACCAAATTTACAGAATTATGGCCCTTTGTTGATTTTTCACTATATACTATGTAGAAATTTTTGTGAACGCAACTCCTCTTAAAACCGGATGGCAGATTTTGCTTAAACTTACAGGGATGAACAACCTAAAGGTGTAGATGGTAGTAAAGGAAGGAATTTTTGCTGCGACCAAAATTTTTACAGAATTATGGCCCTTTGTTTGATTTTTTCACTAGATACTATGTAGAAATTTTTGTGAACGCAACTCCTCTTAAACCGGATGGGCAGATTTTGCTTAAAACTGACAGGGATGAACAACCTTAATGTGTAGATGGTAGTAAAGGAAGGAATTTTTTGCTGCAACCAAATTTTACAGAATTATGGCCCTTTGTTGATTTTTTCATTATATACTATGTAGAAATTTTGTGAACGCAACTCCTCTTAACCGGATGGCAGATTTTGCTTAAACTTCCAGGGATGAACAACCTTAATGTGTAGATGGCAGTAAAGGAAGGAATTTTTGCTGCAAACCAAATTTTACAGAATTATGGCCCTTTGTTGATTTTTTCATTATATACTATGTAGAAATTTTGTGAACGCAACTCCTCTTAAACCGGAATGGCAGATTTTGCTTAAAACTTCCAGGGATTAACAACCTTAATGTGTAGATGGTAAGTAAAGGAAGGAAATTTTTGCTGCGACCAAATTTAACAGAATTATGGCCCTTTGTTGATATTTAGTTTTCAACTTGTGGCACATGTAGTCCAAAAAATATTTGACCTAGAGTCATAAGATTGACAGAACAGTGGTGTGTGGGGGCATCCGTGTCCTATGGACACATTTCTAGTTTTTTTAAACCTTCATTAGTTGAAAATTGCTAAATTTAAATTGTGTATTCATTTTCTTATTGCTAGCAAATGGTAACCTTACATAACATGGTGAGCACAGCTTCTACTGCGGTGTCTGTAGTCAGGGAGGACGGTACCTATGACAACATTCCTGTGACTGACCTAGTTCCTGGAGATGTTATTGTGATACCGTCTCACGGCTGTACGATGACATGTGATGCTGTGTTGATGGCGGGAACTTGCATTGTGAACGAGAGCATGCTAACAGGTAATCTATTTAATCCAGCATATCTGACTGTTATTCTGCTTATCTGACTTTTATCCTACTTATATCTTCCTTTTGTACGTTTCTAATGCATTCTTCTAGTGTTGTACATCTGCTGATATATACTTTAAAGCTCTTTGATTCTACTTTTAGGATTCCTTAGGGGCGAAAAGAGCTAAGTTGAAAATTTCAAAATGAAATTATAGGTTCATTGTACCATAAAGTGTTTTAAAAAAGTTCAGTGCTAATTGCCTCTTTGGCTCAGTGTAGATTTAATAAGTTTATCAAATGCATAACAAACTGTTAATGTTAAACTTAAATTTTAATATATATATATATTTTTTTTTTGGTTATATTTTAAAATAACTCATGAGCCTATATGTATTAGATAATAATATCACTTAAATTATCATTTGAAATTTCATGGTGTATTTATTAGTATAAATATTGTTAGTTTTGCCTATCTGTACATTTTGCACTTTTTCTCTGTTATTGGTGACTACAATCATATCATTTTTTGCTTTATCAATCATTACTTCAATTTAATTGATCTATTTTAATAATATTTGTGTATATATGTTGTGTATATGTTGTGTACATGTAAACTGATTGTAATAATGTTATGCTGAGGCCCACATGGAAGATCGGGAAACTGAATGTGTAAGCCTTGTTAAATAAAGTCGTTACTTACTTACTTACTTACTTACTTACTAATGTGAATGTTACAATGTATAGGTGAGAGTGTGCCGATAACAAAAACTCCGCTACATCAGTGTGAGGACGAGGAGATTTATTCCCCGGAGCAGCATAAACGTCATACACTCTTCTCTGGCACAAAAGTTATACAAACACGATATTATGGCCAGTACAAAGTCCTTGCTGTTGTTGTCAGGACAGGTAAACTAATCTATTCTCAGCTTCGAAGACTATATTAGCTGTGCCATGACAAAACCAACATGCGTTTTTGACCAGCATGGATCAAGACCAGCCTAGGCATCCGCGCAGTCTGATCAAGATCCATGCTGTTTGCTTACAAACCATTTAACAAGTAGAGAAACTGAAAGCAAACAGCATGGATCTTGATCAGACTGCGCGGATGGGCAGGCTGGTCTGGATCCATGCTGGTCGCAAATTCATTATGTTGGTTTTGTCATGGTGTGGCTAATTGTTTTATCTGTATTAGATAAAAGATTTTTATAATTTATAAATGTTAAAATTGTATTCATACTCTATGGGCGATGCTGGATGTTGTTAGAGTTAATGCCTCTGTTACTTAACACACATGAATATTTAACTTTTACAAGTGCTCAGAACAAATTTTTAGGCTGATAGATAACTGTATCAGTATCAATTTCCACATAAAACAACTGAAAGAATTTGTAAAATAACTTAATAACATTCTGAGAATTTTTCAAATGAATGACAAAACAGCAGAGGACAGTATTACTGCAGTAATATATATTTACAGGTTTCAGCACGGCGAAGGGAGAACTTGTACGAGGTATTTTGTTTCCGAAACCTCTCGGCTTTAAATTTTATCAGGATGCGATGAGGTTTATAATGTTCCTGGCTGTGGTGGCACTGTTTGGAATGTGTTACAGCATTATTCAGTATATCAGACTTAAGGTAAATATGATGATGAAAATGGATGGAGATATGTTTTATTTTTGTTTTTTCATTGCAACCTTTTAAAATGAAAATTTTTAAGTATATAATGATTATTTAAAATTCCTAAGTATATAAGGATTATGTAAAATTCTTAATATATTAAGATTATGAAAAATTCTTAAGTATATAATGATAATGTAAAATTCTTAACATATTAAGATTATGTAAAATTCTTAAGTATATAATGATAATGTAAAATTCTTAAGGATATAATGATTATGTAAAATTCTTAACATATTAAGATTATGTAAAATTCTTAAGGATATAATGATTATGTAAAATTCTTAAGTATACAGTAGAACACCACCTAATGACCACACCACAAATAGGACCACGCAGCTATTAAGGGCACTTTTAAAAAAAACCCCAAAATATTTGCCTTCTTATTCATTGAGAAAAATTGTCAGTATACCGACCACATCTCGTCTCTAATTTGGCATTGCGACCACTTCTGTCAGACAATTGTGTGTATTTCTTATTTATCACATAAATTGCGGCGCAGGAGTGTAATAAAGCCATTTAATAAAAGCGATATTACACTAGTGTAATAACACTTTGACGTGACGTCATTTGCGCTATATACAAACAAAGCATTAAAGCCCGCTAATGTTAGTGTTACATTATAGGCGTGTAAATGAAAAATGGCTATTTTTAACAGTTTACCATTCTTATTTTATATATGTGATAAATAGAATATTATATTCGTGTAGATTCAATACTAAATTTATTGAACTCGTTGAATAAAACAATATTATGCTTGCCAGAGGCTCGCATAATATGATTTTATTCATTTTGTTCTATAAATTTAGTATTAACCTACACTCATTTAATATCCTCTATTTAAATCATTAACCTGTATTACAACCATGCAACATAATGACCACCCAACACCATGTGTTTATTGCCTAATTGCCCCATGAATCTTTCCTCTGGCATAAACAAATACACCTGGTCAAATGAGGTCATTATCTGTCTTGGTTTATTAGACGCTTGATATTAACGTCAAGCGTCAGCGTGATTGGGATTAAGTTTCTTCAGCTATGGTGTGAGAAACAATTTTACTGTAATTAACAGGTGGTCAATAGCCTTTTAATTTGTTTGTTGATGGCAAGTATGTCACAAGTTGCTAATTTCACTAAACGACTGTTAAAGTGTGTTTTATTTAGATACTATAGTGTACTATTAATAGTTGTAATGGCAAGAAAGGATTATTATACCCCCACCACAAAATGTGGGGGGGCTATAATGGATTCGCTTTGTCGCGTCGGTCGGTCCGTCGGTCGGTCGGTCCGTCCGTCTCCATTTTCGTGTCCGCTCTATAACTTCTATACCAATTGAAGGATTTTCTTCAAACTTGGCTCAAATGTTCACCTCAACAAGGGGATGTGCAGAACCCATATTGCCCATGTGTCAGTTCAAGGTCAAGGTCACAATTGAAGGTCAAATATCAAACACTATCAAATATTACACAGTATGTCCTGTCCGCTCTGTAAGTCCTACACTACTTGAAAGATTTTCTTCAAACTTGGCTCAAATGTTCACCTCAACCAGGGGATGTGCAGAACCCATGTCGCCCATGTGTCAGCTCAAGGTCAAGGTCACAATTGAAGGTCAAATATCAAACAATTAAATATTACACAGTATGTCGTGTCCGCTCTGTAAGTCCTACACTACTTGAAAGATTTTCTTCAAATTTGGCTCAAATGTTCACCTCAACAAGGGGATGTGCAGAACCCATGTTGCCCATGTGCCAGCTCAAGGTCAAGGTCACAATTGAAGGTCAAATATCAAACAATCAAATATTACACAGTATGTTGTGTCCGCTCTGTAAATCCTACACTAATTGAAAGATTTTCTTCAAACTTGGCTCAAATATTCACCTCAACAAGGGGATGTGCAGAATCCATGTTGCCCATGTGTCAGCTCAAGGTCAAGGTCACAATTGAAGGTCAAATATCAAACAATCTAATATTACACAGTATGTCATGTCCGCTCTGTAAGTCCTACACTAATTGAAAGATTTTCTTCAATCTTGGCTCAAATGTTCATCTCAACCAGGGGATGTGCAGAACTTATGTCACTCTTTTGCTGGCTTAAGGTCAAGGTCACACTTTAAGGTCAAAAATTGACTTAGAAAATATTCTTAAATTTTAACATTTATTTGAATATTTCTAAATCTAGAAAAGGTATTTGCTTGAAAATATTTTTGAAGGGTCACAATTCTGATATGCTGTTCGTTCAAGTTTCATAACTCTGTATTGCATTTTACCAAAGTTATGCCCCTTTTTAAGTCTTCAAATTTACATACAATCAAATATTAGACAATATGTTGTGTCAGCTCTATAAATCCTATACAAATGGAAGAATTTTCTTCAAACTTTACTCAAATTTTCACCTCAACAAGGTTATGTGCAGAATCCATGTCACCTTTGTGCCGGCTAAAGGTCAAGGTCACACTTGAAAGTCAAAAATTGACTTAGAAAATGTTCTTATATTTTAACATGTACTTGAATAATTCTGAAACTAGCGCAGGCATTTGCTTGAAACTTAAAAGATATATGAGGTGTGGCAAATAAGATATGCAGGTCAAGTTTCATTACTCTGTATTGCATTTTGACAAAGTTATGCCCCTTTTTAAGTCTTCAAATTTACATACAACCAATATATTGTGTCTACTCTATAAATTCTATACTAATGGAAGGATTTCTCAAATGTTCAACCAAACTGGGTGATGTGCAAAACCCATCTTACCCTTGTGCCAGATTAAGGTCAAGGCCACACTTGAAGGTCAAAAATTGACTTATAAATAAAATGTTTAATACATTGGGAAAATGAAAGGTTATTTGTAACTGTTTCGAACATGATTTGATAATATATATTTATACTATTACCTGTACAATTAGTCTTTTTTTTCACCAGAGATAATTTCTTTTTATGTATTTGTGCCACATTAGTTATTCCCTTAACCACCTTTCCAAGTGGTCTTCTGTCAAGGACATTGGTGGGGGTATGAATCGCATTCAGCGATAGTTCTAGTTGATATCGTAGTGTCTTTACTAACTATTACAGTATGAAAGCAATATTTTTATAAAAATTGATGAAAAAATTGTATGTACTGATACAAAAGAAAAGTGAGATATAAAAATATATTTTCATTTATCAGGCATCACCTGAAAGGATAATTCTGCGTGTCCTTGACATCATTACAATAATTGTCCCCCCTGCTTTACCGGCGGCCATGACAGTTGGTACAGTGTATGCACAAAACAGATTAAAGAAGAAACAGATTTACTGTATCAGTCCTCCAAGGATAAATTTCTGCGGCAGATTGAACCTTCTATGTTTTGACAAGGTAAGACCACAAAAGGTTTTGTTACCGGTCTAGGGCAAAAGAGGTAGGATTTTCTTTCATATATTTATATATAACTCTTTTATATAATTTTATTAATTTTATGTATGTAAAATCGGTAAGGCAAAGAAAAAGTCTAGGGTTGGCTATTTAAAAAAAAAGGATAGGCAGGGAGACTGGAAACAACCTCAGTCATGTTTGAATGGCTTTGATTTTTATCTCGATAACAAAAGGAAGCAGGAATACATGTTGAGGACTGTACAGGGAACTGTAAGCTAATTGAATTTTAGCAGCTCAACCACCTTGCCTATGTCATAAATGAAAGCCGGTCAAGTACATTTAAAAGCACATTATGCCTCCGAAATCCATATCTTTTAATTCTTTGGAAATGTCCTGCATGTTGTAATAATGTTTTGATAATGGTTTAAGGGCATTTTAGATGTTAAACAACTGAAGAAGTAGCATCGAACAAACAGTTATGTATTGTAAAGGTAACAAAATGTAAAAAAAGTAGTATTTTGACTTCCATACAAAATACCAATTCACTGTGATTATACCAATTGCCAACATAACAAAATCAGCAAAAGTTTAAGCATATGGTAAATGAGTATTTTTTTTTGAAACTAACAAGATACCAAATTTAAAAAGTTTATGAGAAATAAAAATGATAGCATTTTTGAAGTGTATGGGTCTTAAGAAAATCAGTAGGTCAGGGTTAATTTTGAAATTTATGTTTTATTTCATAGACTGGGACTTTAACAGAAGATGGTCTGGACCTTGGAAAAGTTATACCAGTCAAAGATAAAAAGTAAACTCTTTGGTTTTGTTTTGTTTTGTTTGTTATATATGCATAATTTTATGATATACATGTACATGTAATACTTAAAATGGGTTTTTAATAATTTGAGTGGATCTAGAATATGTAAAAATATGTTTCTGAGTAATTTGGTAGTAAATAGTTAATGTTATATTGATTGTTTGAAGAACAGGGAGAGCTATTGCTTTCAAGTAAGCGTTGGTGTTTCCGTCACAATTTGGTTAAGATTTTGTGTGCAAGTTGGTATCTTCAAAACTACTAAAGAGAATAGATTGAAACTTCAGGCACTTGTTCTCTATCATTATCTAACATGATAAGTCTGAGTTTTGTTTTAAAAGAGTTATGCCCCTTTTCTTTCTCTCAAACATTTAAAGTCAAGCACACTGTCATACACAAAAGGTTTTTGTAAATCAAATAACTTATTGGTACAGATTTATAGTAAAAATGCAAATGCTCTAGTTTCAATTTTATTTTCTTTGCCTTTGTAAAAACATTCACTACTCTCAGAAATGTCTATAACTGATATATCTGGAGAGGGCGGCACTTGCTCGAGTGGAAAATAGTTCAGAGTTGTTAAAGAATCTGAGGACAGTAACAAATTTATTTTGAGCCGGTGATGACTGGCATACTTGCTTTCCTTACTTCTGTTTTCTGTTCGATGTCCTGATTTTGCAGTTTGTCCAACTAATGTGGCACAACCAAGTAAAGATGAGGAACCATCATATTATTAATCAGTAGTTTTGTATTGTATGTGATTATCATGATTAATGTATAAGAGAATGTTTGCAGTTTTACACACGGAATTAATGATCCTAGTCTGATGGAGAGAGGAGATTTTCTGGTTGGCATGGCAACGTGTCATTCTCTGACAATCATTGACGGAGAAATCTCGGGAGATCCCATGGATGTGATAATGTTTAATGCTACAAAATGGGTGAGTTTATATGCTTAGATGTTATGTTTAATGCTACAAAATGGGTGAGTTTATATGCTTAGATGTTATGTTTAATGCTACAAAATGGGTGAGTTTATATGCTTAGATGTTATGTTTAATGCTACAAAATGGGTGAGTTTATATGCTTAGATGTTATGTTTAAAGGTGCATTACTCATAATGAGGTGGCAAAGTTTCCAGTTTCTAATTATTTTGTGGGCATTTAAATAAATCAGATTAATTTTTAGCTCGACTATTCGATAAGAATAAGTAGAGCTATTGCAGTCACCTGAGCGTCGGCGTCGGCATAACCACTTATGTTAAAGTTTTTGTAATAGTTCAAATATTTTCAAAGTCCATAGACATATGGCTTTGAAACTTTGCACACTTGTTCACCATCATGACCCCAACCTGTAGACAGGAGGAGGTAACTCTATCAAGCATTTTGACAGAATTATGCCCCTTTTTCGACTTAGAATTTACGTTAAAGTTTTTGTAATAGTTCAAATATTTTCAAAGTCCATAGACATATGGCTTTGAAACTTTGCACACTTGTTCACCATCATGACCCCAACCTGTAGACAGGAGGAGGTAACTCTATCAAGCATTTTGACAGAATTATGCCCCTTTTTCGACTTAGAATTTATGTTAAAGTTTTTGTAATAGTTCAAATATTTTCAAAGTCCATTGACATATGGCTTTGAAACTTTGCACACATGTTCAACATCATGACCCCAACCTGTAAACAGGAGGAGGTAACTCTATCAAGCATTTTGACAGAATTATGCCCCTTTTTCGACTTAGAATTATGTTAAAGTTTTTGAAATAGTTCAAATATTTTCAAAGTCCATTGACATATGGCTTTGAAACTTTGCACACTTGTTCACCATCATGACCCCAACCTGTAAACAGGAGGAGGTAACTCTATCAAGCATATTTTAACTTTCAAGCACTAAGAATAGTCGAGCGTTGCTGTCCTACCGACAGCTCTTGTTCAAAGTGGGTGTTGAATTGCCTTGATTGTACAAAATGATGTTGTTGACTTTACGTAGAAGTTAAACAGATCAATAATTGTAATGTAAAATATGTGCACATGTATGCATGAGTAAAGTTTTAGTTGAACAATATGAGATGTCAGTGTTGCAGGTTTTCATAATGAGACTTGTTTTAAGATATTCTGTATGGAATTAAATTTTTAATCCTCTGAATAACATCTTACTGGGTGACATAAATTCTCTCAGCTGTTGTTGTATCGCTTATTATTGTATCAAAGTTTGGGGACATTTCTGTTGAAAATGTGTCAGAGTTAAATCGTATACATATACATGCACAGTGCGTTAACTGGAGTGCAGGTACCGTATTAGTTACCCCCACTCCAGAGCATGCCCATTGATTGGCTCATTTTTGTTGGGTTTTACTTATTGTGACGGAAGAGAAAGGGAAAGTGATAGAAATATCATATTCAGATTCTCGTTTATTGGTTCCTTTTTTCTGGGGTTTATATTGTGACAACAGGGAACGTGTTTTTATGTTTGACTATGATACAAAAGAGAAAGAACATCAAAACACTTGACAATCTGATTTATACTCGTAGCCCCCTGGTATAAATCAGATAGCCTTGTGTTTCGATGCTCTTTCTATTACTTATTGTATCATATTATCATGGCAGTGCATGTTGTTCCTTGAACTCATGGGTATGGGCTTTATTGCACTGGGATTCTATGTCTTTTAAATGTTAAGGACTAGGATTTGTATGTTTATTTACAGAGTCTAGAAGAGCCTGGTAGAGACACTAGTAAGTTTGATACAATCATGCCGACTGTGGTACGTCCAGCTACAAAAGACACTTTTATGCCAGATGAAGATTTAGGCGATGTAAGTCTCCTATTATATAATTTATTATAAATGTCCTCTGATGAAATAACCGACATTTGCATCTGTTTAAGTACAAGTATAGGGATCACTTTTTATGTATTTTACATTTTCTATTTCTATCCATTTATTATATAATAAATGTGTGTTGACATGTTTCTTTTCATACGCCTTAAGTTACACAACATGTCAATAATCAATCTGGTGCATAATCTATTCAAAATGAAGAAAATAGAAAACAAATTCAGTTTTTTTTTATTCATTTTATAATAAAGAAAATATATATGATAAACAGCATTGTGTGCTATCCTGATGAATTGTATTGTTGTAGTTGCAGAGCTCTTCCATTCTCAATTTTTTTGCTAACATTAAATAACCCTTACTCCTTGAAAAAATCCTAGACCCTAAGTGACCTGTTTCGTGATTTTAGGATTTTAAAAGAATTTATGTCCAGTATATCGTATGCGGAATGTACATTTTCCTCTTTTCCACCATGGAACTTGGGAGGAAAAGTGGAAAGGCTCAATTAAACCCTGCATCTGAAGCATGGCAGTGTCAGAATTTTGTCCATAGTCACCTCATTTTATTTGAAAACTGATTAATTAAATTCTTCAAGGATTCTCTGCACATTTTCTTTTGAATCGCCTATAGCTTAAATTATCAATGGGTATGAAAATAAGGTAAAAAAAAACAAACCATCAACAAATTAAAGAACTATTCTCACCTTTATTATATAGGCCACACAGTTTGAAGTTGGAATTGTGCGTCAGTTTACATTTTCGTCAAGTTTAAAGCGTATGAGTGTTATAACACGGACATTAGGCAAGAGTCACATGGATGTATATTGTAAAGGAGCAGTGGAGACAATCTGTATGCTATGTAACCAAGACACTGGTGAGTGCATTGTTTAACCATCTCTTTATTGTGTGTATCTAGGCAACCGGTGAATGTTTAACCATCTGTATAATGTGTGATTTAGATACGGTTGAGTTTCTACCCATTTTTACTGTGTTCCAAGAACTGGTGAATGTTTAATTATTTGTTTAGTGTGTAACCAGGCAACCAGTGAGAGTTTATTTTCAATATGTCCATCTAGTAATCAAAGAGTCTCAAGCTGTTTGGGTTAAAAACCTGTCTGGGCCGAGGCCTTGTTCCTGTGAGCAAGAAATTTTACACTCATTGCTCAGTACATGATGGTTCCAGGAACAGATTGGAGGGTGTGTTTATAAGCTCCTAGCTTTTTACTTTATCAAAGTAAAATATATTCTATATAATATTTTTATTTTAGTTTGATTCTGATGAAAGTTTGAAGCAAATTTGAACTATTCTAGAGTCTGCTTTCTGGAATTCACCAGTACTCACTACTTGTGTTATATAAAAACATGATCATGACAGTTGAAGTGCTCAAACCAACGATTCCCCTGTCATTTTTTCTGTATCAGTGTCAAACCCTCTGTTTAGGTAAACAGCTGCTAAGAGTTTAACTGTTTGAGTTATGGCTCTTGATTGTTGAAATATTTTAATCTTTTGAGATACTCTTACAATAGTTAATCCTTGATATAATATATCTACAGTTCCTGAAGACATTGATGGGGTGCTAAGACAGTATGCTGTTCAAGGTCTCAGAGTTATAGGACTTGCTTCACGGTCTTTGGATCCCAAAATTACCTGGCATCAGGCCCAAAGAATCCCTAGGTAAGTGAAAATGATGTTTCTTTTCAAAAACGAATGACTAAGTATTATTTTATGTGACTGTAATTTTGTACAAGGACAAAATGTGATAATAGTAATTGTGTGATTATATTGGTACAAATTAGAAAGTGATTCTTGTTACAGGAAGAAAGTTCAATATCCTATTATTCATGGTGTAAAATATGCTGTGGCATTTCTGTTTAGAGGGACAAAGTATTAGTAAAATGTAACATTTTAAGGGACAATATACCAGTACCACGTGACATGGCATTTCTATTTATAGGGACAAACTATAATGTATCATAAGGTTCATATTTTAAAGGGACAATAGGCATGACTAACACAAGAAGGTCTATTTTTGCATATTTTAACCTGTATTGGTATTTACATGGGTTGTAAGTACCTTTCTTTGTTACCTTCACAATAGTTAACTTTTAACCTTTAGCCTGCTTGCAGCGACTGAATCTCCCCATGCGACCAATGCAGACAAAGATCAGCCAGCATCTGAGCCATCTGATCATGGTCTGCACTGTTTGCAATTCAGTTAATACTTACCGGGTATTTGAAAATTTCCCCTAAAATGATGAATGGTATTGTCAATATTGAAAGATAGACATGTCCATTTAGATAATTTAGCATGATGTTTTCATGAAAATTGGCATGAATCTTGAAGCGTGCTGCTTTAAAGGCCTGGCCTAGGTACCTATATACTATAACATGTAATTTCTATTTACAGGGACAAAGTAGAATGTGATATGACATTTCTAGGCCTGATTGTGATGCAGAATAAACTAAAGAAGGAAACTAAACCTGTGATAAAAACTTTGCTTGCTGCCAACCTCAGATGTGTCATGATTACTGGTTAGTCTTTTTAAAGTAAAATCTTTTTTTATGCAGCCAGTAAGTTATTCCAGCAATTTGTTGTCATGATATTAGCTTGTATGATTTGAAAAGCTGATTTGATTCGAAAGCTAATATATGACTATGATTTGGAAAGCTGATATGAGTTGGAAAGCTAATACGATTTGGAAAGCTAATATGATTTGAAATGCTGATGTGATTTGAAAAGCTGATATGATTCGGAAAGCTGATATGATTTGGAAAACTGATATGATTTGGAAACCTAATATGATGTGAAAACCTGGTCTGATTTGGAAAGCTTATATGATTTGGAAAGGTGGTATGATTTGGAAAAGCTGATTTGATTTGGAAAGCTGATATGATTTGAAATGCTGATGTGATTTGATTTGGAAAGCTGATATATGATTTGGAAAGCTCATATTATTTTATTTGGAAAGCTGATATGATTTGATTTGGTAAGCTGTTTTGATTTGATTCGGAAAGCTCTATGATTTGATTCAGAAAGCTGATTTGATTTTAAATATGATTTGGAAAGGGATATCAATTTTGAGAGTGTTTTTCTAGAAAAATGCATGGTTGGCATTCAAATAAGTAGTAATAAGATCACCGAGGCCAATATATATGTAGATGATGTGTGAGCATTTCTTTTTTATGCTGTGCATAATTTGTGTAATTAATGCACTTGACTGTCCACGCTGTTTAACGTAGGAAAACTTTTTGTTTCAATTTGAGTTTTATACCTGCAAAAAATAGGTAAAAGTTGTGACATAAGCAAGCCACTATGTTAAAATATCATTTTCCAGCTTTTTATACCTGATTGCCAAACCTTAGTCCAAAATGAGTTACTCCGCATACATTGTTTCAAATATAATTGACATCAAACATGAGTTTTATTTTACGCAGGTGATATGATCACCACAGCAGTAAGTGTAGCACGTAACTGTGGGATGGTTGGATCCAGGGACCGTGTTGTGATAGTCGATGCGCATAAACCAGAGAGCAGCAATGATCAGGCGAGAATTGAATGGGAACTATCAGAAATGAATGTAGAGGAAAGTCCGGAGACATCCGATTATGATAGTGAGGTGAGTTATAACTACACTCCAGAAAACTATTTATGAAATTTTTACTTATTTTTAATTATTCACTGATAGATTAGAGGAAAAAAAAATGTACCGGAATCATAAATTGAAATTGATCACATTTTTTAATGGGGAAACAAAAGTTGAGAAATGAAAGATATTGCTTTGCAGTGATTTTATTTATGCTTGATATAGAGGCTTAATATAGGCTTTTTCTCAATTGACAGAACATTGGAAACTTTCAAACTAATGATAGTTGTAAAGATTTCTCATATTATAAGGCATATACAGCTTTAAAAATAAAAAAAAAATAAAAAAAAAAAGGAAAAAAAAAGTTATGGTAATCATTATCTGATAGTGAATGTCTTATGATAGGTTCCCAATTTTGTTATCATTTCCATATGTAGAAAGACATTGGCTGTTAATGTGGCCCAGATATATCCTTAATTTACAATAAATAGTAAAAATTAATAGAATCTCGCAAAACATAAACAAGTTGCAGCTAATTTTATTTTTGAGGGGCTTAGGATTTAAAAAAAATGAAATGGTAGATGAAGTAAGCCATTTGAATCAATGTGGGACATTGAATTGTTGGAATTGGGAAAAAATAGCATATTCAAGAAAAAGCATGTCAAGATCTTAGAATGAATGTTTGAATTAAACATGCTTTACACAAATTTATGTTTGCATGCATGCTGATACCCATGATTCTTTTGGCATAAATATTAAAGCTTTAAATTATACAACCTTTTGCCTGGACTGGTTTTCTGTCTTTTAATTATGTTGACTTGACTTGCTTTGACTGGTTATCACTTGGATAACAAGTTGCCTAGACATGTTTTAACGTAAGTAACAAGTTGCTTTGACTGGTTATCACTCAGATAACTAGTTGCCTTGACTGGTTATCACTCCAGTAACAAGATGACTTGACTGGTCATCACTCAGGTAACATGTTGCTTTGACAGGTTTAAACTTAAGTAACAAGTTGCCTTGACTGGTTATCACTTGGGTAACAAGATGCCTTGACTGGCTATTACTTGGGTAACAAGTTGCCTTGACTGGTTATCACTCAGGTAACATGTTGCTTTGACGGGTTTAAACTTGAGTAACAAGTTGCCTTGACTGGTTATCACTTGGGTAACAAGATGCCTTGACTGGCTATTACTTGGGTAACAAGTTGCCTTGACTGGTTATCACTCAGGTAACATGTTGCTTTGACGGGTTTAAACTTAAGTCACAAGTTGCCTTGACTGGTTATCACTTGGATAAAGAGATGCCTTGACTGGCTATTACTTGGGTAACAAGTTGCCTTGACTAGTTATCACTCAGGTAACAAGCTACCAGGACTGGTTATCATTCATGTGACACTTGCCTGGACTGTCTATCATTCTTATCACACAAATGCATGGACTTGTTAACATTTATGTAACACTATTGCCTTGAACTGGATATTATTTATGTTATAATTTTTTTCAAAACATTTTTAAAGTTATCAATATGAAACTTTGAATACTTGCTTATCATGACAAGGTGCATTGTTAGGCTTAGTTCATAATTCTTAAAGCAATGTTTTTGGATTTATGCCCCTTTTTAACTTTGAATGTGTTAACATCAAGTGCAGTGCTATTGTTTACATGTTTTTTTGACTTGCTATTAACAACAAAACACCCATTGTCTGGTTCACTGTTCCCTTTTATTTTTCCTTAACCTTTAACCTGCTGGAACTGAAAGTGATTAGTCTTTGCTACCAGTATAGAGCCAGGCCAGCCTACACATCTGATAGTGTCTGACCAGGTTCTATACTGCTGGTAGCTCAGCTTAGGTATTTTTAAAATGTAAATCCCTTTAAACTTTAAATAGACTATTCTGAATTCAATGTAGGTAAAGTCCATTAGACAAGTTCAGCAGGTTAAGGTACAAAATGCCTGTGACCACTTTTGCGTTATCTTATATATTACATGCATGTTATTAGATGTATTTACAGCTTTTGTTTCCCTGCTTTTTTCTGTTGATTATAATATTATCTATACAATAAACAATATGCTAGATAATGTTTTGATAGGTATGATTAGTTTCGAAGGAAATGCTGTAAATCTACCTTTAAAATAGATGTTATCCGGAACTCGATAAATGTGGGTTTTTCCAAGCTAATTTCCTGGTACAAACTTTTACAATTATACTTTCATGGTGCCCTACAGGTCACAATAGATTAGTCAACTTGTTGTGCTTATTCTCGAAGCTATAACTATAAAAGTTTGTTTGCACCCTCAGATTAGCTGAGAAAAACCCAAAATATTCTTAATTCCGGAGAGAAGTCTATTGAAATTTCATCTGCTTCCTTGCTTACATGTTCTTGCCCTATATTTTGTTACCTGACATATATTAGTACATGGTTGGAAATTTCTTTATTATCTTACCTTTTTGAAGAAAAATTAAAAAAAATTTCTTCCTTTTCCATGTTATTGTCTGCTACATTTCTTTTCTCAATTCTGTGATTATCAGTTTGTCTTTGCTTTTAACGATGCATGTAAAGAAGCAAAAACAGTTCATTATTAAATCAGAAAAAATAACAATAGAAAATGTTTTCTCCCTAGGTATACCATTTGAAATATAACCGTTGTTTTTAATTTGGATTCATATATAATGATTTTCTTGTACCCACATGTAAGTAGATAACGGATAAGCTGATTTGGTCTGTTAGAGAAGTAGGTCTACCAACACTAAATTTATGAAATCGTTTCTTTGTGCAATTTGTTTAACCTTTTAACTGCTGACAATTGTGTAACAGAAACAGACAAGAGGGTTGTTAACTCTGCTGAATTTGTGTAATAGATCAATTCAAAATTTAAGAGCTTTTGATATAAATATACAAAATTTAGTACTACCAACATCATAGGGCTTGGCCAGGCTGTACACTTGTGGTAAAGGCTAATTAATTTACTAATAAGCTAATGAATTTAATAATAAGTTTTCTACAAGTGAAAGGTTTATAGATTACAGCAGTAACAAGGTTAAAGAAGGGCAAGTTTGTTCTACAAGTCAGCAGCATTTTAGAAATAGTGTATACTGAATTAGTGTAGGTAAATTGATACTTAACTTATTGGACATGATGATTAAAATTACATTCTGCAAGCATGATAGTATTTTACTCAACAAGTTCAATAAATTTAATAGTGAATCTACACGAATATAATATTCTATTAATCACATACCCCCCAAAAAAGACTGTTTATAGTACATAAAAAGCAGTTTTTCATTGATCCGCCTGTAGTGTAACATTTAGCGCGAGTTCAAACGTAAATCTTGTGCAGTTACAAAATCGGTAGGGGTATGTGATAATATTACTTACATACTTCTTCTCTTTTACTTCCATTTCTTAATTAATTCTAACGATTCTTACTGATATTTTCTAGCCATGTGTATATTCTTTTTGCTGTTATTTTGTGCTACTAATTATGTGACATTATACAAGAAATTTGTAAGCCTTATTGAGTTACTGTGTGGGGAGATTTTCATGTACATGTTTATTTTCATGGGTCTTTTTTTTCAGCTAGCAAAAAAGAACAAATAAAATTCCAAAATATAATTCAGAGATTCATGTAGAGGTCTTGATGATTTTAAGCATTTGGGATTGTCGAATTTTGAATGAACGGTGACAGTTAGGATTTCAGTATCAAAATAAAAAGTTTTGGCCGCTGGTAGAACTGTATTATAAGAGCATAGTCGGATATCAGTTGGGCATGTTAGTAGGCATGATTTTATTCACAGCCAATTATTGTCTTAAAAAATGTATATAAGTTATGTATAAAACCGTAGCATTACTTTGTGAAAGAAAAAAGAAATTATTTCATTAATGATAATATAAACAGAAGCCATGGAAGCTGTGTATTAAGATAATATAAACTTATTTTGTCCTTGGTGAATATCACAATGTCCAGGTCAATACACTGCAATATTGACCGGGCAATCATACAATAACTGTATAATATACATGTACTGAAATAATGCATTGTAATGTGTATAGAGCCAAAGGGACCTGATAATTTATCAATAATTAGCCACACTGTTAAATTACCTTTCATACATCTGTTACACATAAAATAAAAAAAATGTGTATAAAAACAAGATATACGGCTCATTTACACTACCTTTTTATATAGGCCACCTACCTTAAGTAGCACATATTCTGAACATCCCAAATTGAAATCATTCTCAAATATCATGTTCGAAATACTCTGCATTTAGGCAACCACTTTTTTGACGCAGTCAGTGGCCGCTTATTTCAGTCTCAAATCATTAAAGAGCAGGAAAAAACTTCTGCCAGTTTGTTGTCTGTATAACTATGGTCTATGATAGCTAATTGAACTATTGGGATAATTATTGATAAAATGCCATGCTCCTTTGGTGAAATTTATTACATGTATAAGATAATCAAGGATTAATAATAAGATAATAAGAGCAAATGAATAATAGATGAATAATGTTTCAGGACACAACACCATTTTTAACATCTTCCTTGTATGAGAAGGTTAGTGTCGCACTTGTATTGTCTGCATGCCAGTTCTGATTTGATGATATTCCTTGTAGTTGTGTTATATAAGGGTCCATTGGCCTCTTTCAGTAGGTTTATCAACTTTTAAGTCACTGTATATGACTGTGAACAACAGTTGTGCTATCACTGTATATGACTGTGTACAAAAATATGGGAGGGATTTGTTTATGTACCTATCCAATATGGGAAGAATTTGTTTATGTACCTATCCAATATGGGAGGAATTTGTTTATGTTCCAATCCAATAAAGGAAGGATTTGTTTATGTGCCTATCCAATATGGTAAGGATTTTTTTATGTGTCTTTCCAATATGGTAGGGATTTGTTTATGTATTTATTCAATATGGAAGGATTTGTTTATGCACCTATCTGATATGGGAGGGATTGGCTTATGTACTTATCCAATATGGGAGGGATTTGTTTATGTACTTATCCAATATGATAGGGATTTGTTTATATACCTATCCAATATTGGAGGGATTTATTTATGTACTTATCCAATATTGGAGGGATTTGTTTATGAACCTATCCAATATGGGAGGGATTTGTTTATGTACTTATCCAATATTGGAGGGATTTGTTTATATACCTATCCAATATTGGAGGGATTTATTTATGTACTTATCCAATATTGGAGGGATTTGTTTATGAACCTATCCAATATGGGAGGATTTGTTTATGTAAATATCCAATATAGGAGGGATTGGTTTATGAACCTATCCAATATGGAAGGATTTGTTTTTGTACCTATCCAATATGGGAGGGATTTGTAAATGTAAATATCCAGTATGGGAGGGATTTGTTTATGTACCTATCCAGTATGGGAGGGATTTATATCCAACATTAGAGGGAATTCTTTTGTCTGTAATTTGGTGGTTATTTGCAGACGTGATAGCTAGTGAAATATGCTTTATTTTATGAGTTTATTGATGCATAACATTTCATCATGAATATGTGGTATTGTGAAAGGGGTAAAGGGGGGGAGGTCAAACAGGGAAAGGGATATAAAATTGCACATGAGAGGATAAAAAGGAAAAATCAGATCACAATTGGCATGTAGAAATTATAGCTATGTTTTCTACTTTTGAGTTTTGTACTCCTTAACAACTTCATGCTTTCCTTTTACTGTCTATGTCTCTTTTATAACATACAGGACTTACCAATAAAACCAAAGGTGATGACATTATCATGAGATAGAATGCCTGTTTTATAATGACACATTACTAAGTTATCTTTATTAGAAACCACCTATTTTTTATGCCCCCGCCATGTAATGGCCGGGGCATATAGTGTTACCCTGTTCCGTCATTCCGTCCTTCCGTCCTTCCGTCCTTCCGTCCTTCCGTCCTTCCGTCCTTCCGTCCTTCCGTCATTCTGTCATTCCGTCATCATCAGTTTCCGTTCATTATCTTAAGAACGGTTGGGCATATTCAACTCAAATTTGACATATGGATATGTCATGAGAAAATACAGGTCAAGTTCGAATTTGGTCATGGTTCGATGATTTTTGGCAGAGTTATGCCCCTTTTACTTTAAAAATAATATGAAATTTCAGTTTCCGTTCATTATCTTAAGAACGGTTGGACACATTCAATTCAAACTTGACATATGGATATGTCATAAGAAAATACAGGTCAAGTTCGAATTTGGTTATGGTTCAATGATTTTTGGCAGAGTTATGCCCCTTTTACTTTGAAAAAAATATGAAATTTTCAGTTTCCGTTCATTATCTCCCCAATGGTACAACACAATCAACTCAAACTTGACATATTGATATGTCATGAAAAAATACAGGTCAAGTTCGAATTTGGTCATGGTTCGATGATTTTTGGCAGAGTTATGCCCCTTTTACTTTGAAAATAATATGAAATTTTCAGTTTCCATTCATTATCTCCCTCAAGGTACAACACATTCAACTCAAACGTGACATATGGATGCGTCAAAGGAATGCGCAGGTCAAGTTCAAATTTGGTCATGGTTCAATGATTTTTGGCAGAGTTATGCCCCTTTCACTTTGAAAGTAATATGAAATTTTCAGTTTCCGTTTATTATCTTCCCAATGGTACAACACATTCAACTCAAATTTGACATATGGAAATGTTTTTGGAATGCTCAGGTCAACTTCAAATTTGGTCATGGTTCAATGATTTTTGGCAGAGTTATGCCCCTTTCACTTTGAAAGTAATATGAAATTTTCAGTTTCCGTTTATTATCTTCCCAATGGTACAACACATTCAACTCAAATTTGACATATGGATATGTTTTTGGAATGCTCAGGTCAAGTTCAAATTTGGTCATGGTTCAATGATTTTTGGCAGAGTAATGCCCCTTTCACTTTGAAAATAATATGAAATTTACAGTTTCTGTTCATTATCTACCCAACAGTGTCACATATTCAACTTTAATTTGACATATGGATATGTCAAAGGAATGGGCAGGTCAAGTTGGAATTTGGTCATGGTTTGATGATTTTTTGGCAGAGTTTGTCTCTTTCACTTTGAAAATAATATAGATACATCTTAGGAATAAGCAGTTTAAGTTTGAATATGGTCATGGTTCAATGATTTTAGACAAACTTATCTTTCCTGAATGTTGGAAAAATTTTGAACTTTCAGTTTCACCACTCATTCTTTTAGCCATTATTTTGGCTGCAAATATGCAATATGCTATTTCTAAAAGGTTAAGACTGAATAATTTCAGTGCCTTGAACATTGTATGGAAATGGTTTGTGTTAACATTGAAAAGTTTTAAGGGCTTTGAACTTAAAATGAAAAAAATAATTAATGCACCATCTGAAATTTTGGCTGCATGCGGGGGCATCCGTGGCATGATGACACATTTCTAGTTCTCTCTAAGTTTCTGATACCTAGATCATAATTTAAATTGTGCAAACCAAATGTATTCAACTTTTTGTATCCTTGATAGAGATTTTGTTAGAAAATCATACTGGAGAGGCATGTTCTTGATATCCCCCTGTCCTTTAAATGTGTAAATGACATAATATTATCCTTGATATTACTTTATGTGTGTATTAGGTATATCCTTAATTTTGTACCACATGTCTTTGATAATTGTCCAATTGGTTTAATGATTGTCATATGGTATATCAGATGAATCAGTAAATCCTTGATATTATCTTATTGGATGAATGACATGGCCTTTATGTTGTGTTACTGTACATATATGTGTGGCATATCCTTGATGTTGTCCTACTGGACTAATGGCATATCCTTGATATTGTCCTACTGGATTAAAGGCATATCCTTGATATTGTCCTACAGGATGAATGACATAGCCTTTATGTTGTCTTCTGTACATATATGTATGGAATATCCTTGATATTGTCCTACTTGGTGTATGCTATATGATAATTATTCTATTTGTTGAATAACATAGCCTTTATATTGTCCTACTGGTGTATTACATAGCCTTGAATCCTTCTTGGTATAATTATGACGTATTCTTGATATTGTCCTACTGGATAAATGCCTTATCCATGATATTGTCTTATCTGATTAATGACATATATTTGATATTGCCCAATTGATAAGGACATGGCATTAATATTGTCATGCTGGATTAATTGCATAAAACTTTATTTTGTCCTATTCAATGAACAACAGATCTTTGATCTTAAAACCATGAAAATTGAGTGTCCCTGTGAAAAATAATGAATTTGCAGTAATGGTCAGATTATAAATGTGTCAGTGAAGGCATCCTATCTCTAAAGATGTCAAATATTGCTGTGGGATAAAAAAAAACTTGTGGGATTTATTATAAAAAAAAGTTCATGTACATGTATACAGTAGACTTTGCTATTCTAGTTTGATACAGTGATTACTTTATAAGTAATAACAGTAATTACTTAATGCAGTTTTCTTCGTTTTTATTCTGTTTTCTAAATCATTATTTGCATTACTGTTAACTTTGGAGTGCTTGCTTAGAATTAATTCAAGTTCAAACATGTTGGGATAATGCTTTGTTAGATACTGCCTAAATAGAAGTCAGTATATAATTAACCCTTATCAAGTTTAAATGGATTTGTCCAGTTACCATTTATGGAACTTTCCATTATCAATTTAAGGGATACATAGAAAAAATAAAAAGTGAGACACTAAGACTAAAGTCTCATCAGATTGCATAAGTGTGCAGGCTGGCCTGGGAGCCAGGTTATAAAGAAATATTCTAATCTCAAACTAAGATCTCAGGTATTTGATTGGTCAGAAACAGGGCACAGAATGTGAATTGATCAATGGAAATCCTGAGATTGAAGCTTGAACTAAGGAAAAGGTTTTATAACCTTGGGGTCAGCTTCTATTCTTCACTTTTTGGTTTCTGCAGGTGACAAATCTATTTTTAGCTCATCTCATTCTGGTTTCTATGCAGATGTTATTTTTTTTTTAAATTGCCAGTCTACTATATCCATTGTGAATTTTTTTTAATTTCATAGATAGATAGATAAATAAATGATTTAATATCTCCTGTTTGTGATCCATTATTTAAAACCTGTGTTTTGTAGAAATGAACTATATGTAAATTATTCCCTTAGTAGAGGTTCTAGGCAAAACTTTTTATTTCTGTTTACTTTAATTTTCCAAGTTCTGGCAATGGTATAACAAATCTGCATATCTACCTTAATAATATTATTATATATCATTATGTAGTGTGAAATATGTAGATATCCAGTTCTTTTAGTTGTCTCCCTTACTGTTATTTTTAGTCATTATGTCATTGTTTAGTGCCTGATACATTTAACAGTTTAAGTGAGTTACCTCCCTTTTATTTGACAACTTCATTATCAAAAATCTTATCAATTTTGATGATTGTTTTTGCCCTTTGATGCCAATATCATCAAAATCGGTAGTTGATTCCAAATTAATACAGTTTAATTGTTGTTTATGTAAGATATTTAATGTTTAAGACAAATTTTTATTAAGAAGACAAAAAAAATTTGAAAAAAAGACAAAATTTTATTGAAAAAAGACAAAATTTGAGTATGTTTTTATAAAAATTGCGAAAATTTTTCGTCAAGCTATTTTTGTCCGTAGAGCATACACTTGCATGCCTTCTGTGTTAAGATTTTGAAATCTAGTTAACCTTTATCATTCCAATCTGTTTCTTTCTTTTATGTTACAAATTTGTGAAATTGTAATCAGTGGAAGGTTTTCAATTTTTTTTATTACTTTTATGTTATAATTTTGTGAAACTGTAGTTACTCTGATGAAGGTATTCATTTTGTTTGATTCTTTATGTTATCATTATGCTTTTTCTCTAACTTAACTGTAAATATATTAAGATATATATATCACTTAAATGCGATACTGTAGAAAAGTTATTAAAGGATTTATATTAAAATTACTCAACATGTTAAAGCTTTAAATGCTCTATTTGGTTGTGATTTGTTTTTATATATGTCATGTAACAGAATATTTCGTTCAAGAATGTCCAATTTCTTACTTTGTATGTTTACTTTTTTTACATCTTGGAAAGGTAGATTTTCAGCAAACTTGAATTTACAATTAGTTACACAAAAGAGACCATGTAAAATAGTGTATTGTGGAAATGAGTGTCTTTTGTGAAATTGTTTAGATGTTCTAAACCTTTTGTTAAATTGATTGTTTATTTGAAGGTCTAATATACTGAATGCCACTAAGTGAGGTATTAACTATTGGATATGTTATTTCAATTATAATTGTTGTGCACTAAACTCTGCTGGAACCAAAATTGTTTAACCTCAAATTGTCATCAGTATAGAGCCAGGTCAGCCTACACATTCACACTGTCTGATTACCAATAGGCTTATTGAGCTCAATAATTGTATTTCAAAAGAGAATTCACCTAAAACTTTAAATGAACTGTTCTAAATTCATAAATTCCCTGACCTTTCTAATTATCTGAATAACAATTTCACCACAACCTATTTGTTAACACAAGAGCACATGTCAATTTTTGTGGTTAAATTATTGTTATTCAAATAAATGGTCCAGAGTAGGGATCTATCAATTTAAGGCTTACAAAATCTAATTGACTTAAATTCAAAACGCTATGGGTTGAATTACAAATTGAATATTGGGGCAATAATTTTATTAGCATTACAAGATTATTTTTATAGTGAGTGTGTTATTTTTTTAATTCTGAACATTCTGAATTTCTTAAATGGAGTTGTCCAGCTCCCATGTTTGGAACTGTCCATGATCTTTTTTGGAGATCCAAAACTGAAAATTTGAAGTTGGTGACAGTCTGGCAAGACTGCATGGATGTGGTAAAAAAGTTGCGTGGCTCTATATTGGTGGCAAAAGCTGATAACGTGTATGTTCAAGCTGGGTATGAAGTAAGCTTAGAACCGTGACTTATGATATGAAGTAAAGAACACATATGGTATGAAGTAATAACACATACATTGCAACTGCAAAAAAAACAATCTGCATTACATACATTAATTTTCTGTCCTACAAATTTGGTATATAACATTATCTTTACTTATTTCAGTACCTGAGTCTGCTTTTGAATATATAAATAAAACATGTGTTGCTTTAATATTAGAAGGGTCATTTTAAGAGTAATTTGATTTGGGACATGCATCAAAATAGACTTTTGTGGATGAAAGGCCTCAGGTGAAGGTTGGCCTTTGCTTGTCTTGTGCAAATCGAGAACCTTAATTTCAGCATAACCCATATTAAAAAATGCTCTTGTAATAATGACCCTTATATTATTAAATGAAAATGTAAAATTACCATGTGGTTTGTTATAATACTGTATTTTCATGTATGATAATAAATTGTTGCTAATGTTACAATGTTGGTTTACAGTTCTCAACAGATTTTAAGGGTTATAAATACCATGCAGCAAAACAGGTTTGTTCTATGTTTGTTGTTCTCTAGTTGCAACAGATACAACCAGTCTGGTTATACTCAAATCTCGCTGAGTGTTCTTTGAAGTTATTCAAGTTTCTCTGGTTTTCTTTTTTCTGATTTTTTTCTTCTTTCTGTTTTTGTTGTTTGTTTGTGGTTGGGGGAGGGGTTGGAGTGAGAGTTGAGAGGTTGGGTGGGTGGAGCTTACTTTTTCATATTTCTTTCTTCTAATTTATAAAAGATAAAAAGATTTGTCATTCAGAAATCTGATGATGTTCCATAATTATATTTTCAAAATTTTAATTATGAAGTATTCATTACATGATGGCAAATTACCATTCAAATGACCCTTATGCATGCTGAAATAACCTTATGCATATGCAATTCATGTGATGAATATGCAAATTAGGTTAAAGATATGTAAATGAAGCTAGGAAAATGCAAATTAAGCCACAAAATAAGCAATTTGTTTTTTGAACATTCCTAATGAGCTTTTGCTGCAATTTAAATCAGTGCTGTAAATATTTTTTGATATTTTTTACACTTGAGATAATAAAATTACTCCTTTTGAACATGTTTAAATGTTAATGGTACTTTTATAATTATCTAACAATTGAACATTCATTAAAACTGGACTGGTTGCTTTCTGTTTGCAGAAGGGGACATAACTCACGGTGTGAAGTAGAAAGCTTCTTACCTCTGGCTTATTTTGTTCATAATGAACATATTAATTAGACTTATTATCTAATATTTCTGTCTGTATCCTAATTGAAATGCTCGAGGGATTATTTGACCATACAGAATAAATATTTTCAATGAAAATAACAACAACAACAGCATGATAAGACTCCTGTGAATGTTAAGTCAAAATGTATTTGCTTATTAAAATAGCAGTTAGTTGAGCATCTTTAAAAATCCTGTACAATTTGTTGACCATCTCAATTATTTGCCCTTCAATAACCACCTGGAATGCTAAAATATTTCTGACTAGGACAACAATTTGCCAGTGATTCTATCCAGATATCAACCTTGAGTTGGTGATTCTATCCGAGAATCCAACTTAAATTGGCAATTCTGTCCATAAATCCACCTTAAAATTAGTGATTCTATACAGATATCCACCTAAAATTGGCAATTTTATCCAGATATTCACCTTGAATTGATGATGATTCTGTACAGATTTCAACCTTAAAATTAGTTATTCTATCTAGATATCCACCTTGATTAATGCAGTCAGGAGGAACTTTCTTACATTTTCTTTTACCCAATATTATGAGCACTATGCTGTTATAACCAGTAAATCTTTTGTTATTACTCTTCCTCCAAATAAGGAGAGCATTTCTTTGTTATAATAATATTCTTACACCATACTTTAATACTATTTTATATATTATATAATGGCAATAAATTATATAATCAAGCATTAACAAATTGCAATCTAACTTCTGTATTGCTGCATAAATGTTTAGTACTAAAAATATTTGTTATAATATTGTCCACATCTTGTTTGAGTTTTCTGCTTTAAAAATTGTTCGTAAGAGTTTTTGAACTCTTGCTTTATTCAGTATTTAAACAGAGAGAGTCTCAGTGAGAGAGATCTTGATCACAATGTAGTTGTACTCCTTTTCTAAAATTTCAAATTTATGATGATTTTCAACGTTACTAATACTCTTCAAACTTGCCTCTATTTGAAGTGTTTTGGACAGTTTATTAAGTTCTTTTAATCTGGAATATAAAATATTTAAAGACAAAGTTAGTTATTTTAATGCTCAATAAAGTACATTTAATTGGCAACCTAGTGTCTCATAACCGAGTGACAATAGTTTAAAATCTTCATCTGGTCACAACCATGTCTCCTTATAATAAACACCAGTAATATATGCCTTATTACTGAGCAATAGTAGGTTTAAATCCTCCTGTAGTCGCAACCATGTTTCCTTATATTACACCAGTAACGTCGAGTTCTCCAGATAGCAGACATAAGAGTGATTATATTACTAGTATGTTACATGCTTTATTCACAATCAAGTTTAAACAAATACATGTAACATAAAAACTGAAGGGTTATGTTTTCCAGGAATTGTAGGTGGATTCAGTTATAAATACTGTATTACATATGCAGGTTTGCCTGGATTAATGTTCTGTTGGCTCAGAGGTAATTCTTGTCTGGATAATGTCACTGTATTTTGTAAAACCAAACAAAAATTCTCAGTGAACAATTTAAAATTAGAAACATCAAGTTGGCTTGCTGACTATAAACTTAGCTACTCTGTTGGCAGCAACTGAAGCTACCAAATGCAACCAGAGTAGTTCAGGATCTGATTATCACAGTCAGAATGGTTCACACTGTTCAGTCAGTCCATATCAAAATTGTCTCTGAAAGTTATGAATGACCTCGTCCAGATTGAAAGATTGATGTTAGACATTTATTGTGTTAAGGGTTAAATTAATCAAAGCCTATTTGTTGCCAGCAATTAAAGAATCCAAGGACTTACTAGGAGTCTTTAATAAATGAATTGTTCAATAAGACATCCTTTGTCAATTTCTTTTGTTCAGAGTCTGTCTCTCACAAAACTTTCTCAAGTTTCTGTACTAACTGCATGTTTACTGGCTAAGATAGGGTGTTATTTTCTCTCTGTAAATTGAGCGGTAAATACTGTTTGGTGCGAATCTTGTTCCTGAGAGTAATATTATGGTATTTTTCTGTCAGTATTCTTTTGGTGTTCTTCACTGTTGTGGATTTTACAAATTTGACTTCTCCCGGCCTTCTCTAGAATGTCTCTGGGTTAAAAAACGTATTGATTTGGAAAAATTCATGGATTGATGAAGTTATTGCATAGTTTTGAGTGCACTGTTTTATGAGTTGTGTTGTTAGTTTGTATGTTTAAAGCACTTGCCATAAATTAACTCTCAATACATTACTAATACACACACATGTATTATTATCATTATATCAATCAACATTCATTATTAATGAATGAAATACATACATGTACTCATATATTAGCCATGGCTGTAAGATTTATTTGATATTGATACCTCAATTTGTATAATGGACTAGTCCAATATGAAAGCTGGACAAGTCTGGTAAAAGATTAAAGACAAAATATTTTCACTTTTCACACTGAGGTTGATATTATGACTTGGAATCAAATGAGCTGCATCGTGACAAAACCAACAAAGTGCGTTTGTGACTGCAGACTGCACATCTGTGCTGACTGATCAGGATCCATGATGTTTACTATATCTGTTTCTCTACTTGTAATATGGTTTGTTAGTGAACAGCATGGATCCTGATCAGACTGCGTGGATGTGCAGGCTGGTCTGGATCCATGCTGGTCACAAATGCACTCTGTTGTTTTTGTCATGGCACTGCTCAAATATTGTTATACCGGTTATATAATTATGTTTACTGTATATATTACATGAATTCAGGGGGCGTCCGTGGCCGAGTGGTTAAGGTCGTTGACTTCAAATCACTTGCCCCTCACCGCTGTGGGTTCGAATCCCGACAGGGACTTTGGATTCTTTCATGTGAGGAAGCTATCCAGCTAGCTTACAGAACGTCGGTGGTTCTACTCAGTTGCCCGTTTGTGTCTGAAATAATGCACCTGAGGTCTTCCTCCACCAGTAAAGCTGGAACGTCGCGATATGACCTACACTGTGTTGATGTGACGTAAAACCCAAAACAAACAAACAAACAAACATGAATTAAGATGCAGCATTTGTTATTGATTTTTTAAAACTATTTTGTCAAAGATATTTTTAAGAAGCAATATATTTACAGTAACCATCTTAAAATGGAAATGAGAACTATTTCAATTTGAAAGATGAGTTTTGAATAAAGTTGAATATTTATCTACAGTTTTGCATTACTATTTTGTCACCTCAGTACTGTTATTAACATGTTATTATTGTGTATGATAAACATTTTTTTTTTCAGGTGACTTTTCAGCACATAATTCAGAATTTTAATACGTAGTCTGTGAAAATGCTATTTTTGCTCAGAAAAATGGTATAAAAAATGCAGCAAAATTGAAAAATATATAGACAAACTTGTCTAAATTTAGCTTGTAACAATTGTGTTAATTGGTTATTAACTTATTATTGTTATGTTTTTTTTTAGGTGACTTCTCGGGTTCAGATAGATGAAGTGCAGACACATCTTGCTGTATCAGGGAAATCATTTTCCGTCATAGAGAAATATTTTCCCGATCTGTTACCAAAGATATGTGTACAGGGAACAATATTCGCTCGTATGTTACCTGACCAGAAATGCCAGCTTATACAAAAACAGCAGGAATTAGGGTAAAGTAAATTAACACATAGCCTTGTTTTAGGGGACTTAGTCTGTGGCTGAGTCGTTAAATTCACTGCCTTCAAAGCACTTGCCCCTTGACATCGTGATAACTTTTTCATGCATTGTTAAATAGTAGTTTTCAAATTGTTGCTTTTGTATACTCTGCTTATCTAATGCTTTAAATTAAAATTTTGATACTGCCAAGTGGTTAAGGTCGTTGACTTCAAACCACTAGCCCCTTACCTCCATGGGTTGGAGTCCAGCCAGGGACTTGGGTTCTTTAATGTGAGGAAGTTTCCAGCTAGCTTTGAAACATTAGAGGTTCTACTCAGGTGCTTCTGTTTGTGCCTGGAATTATAAATGCATGGAGTGGCACCTGAGATAACCCTCCACCAGTAAAAGCTGGAAAGTCTTTATATTATGACCTTTAAAGTGTTGGTGCAACCATAAAACAAAAGTTTTGAAAATTAAAACTTTAGGTAATTCAACATTGAGATCAGTGCAGAAAGTTTAAATTGCTACCATATTTGTCACTATCACAACTCACTGATGTAAATATTAACTTTTTCTGTATACAGGTATATAGTAGGTATGTGTGGAGATGGGGCTAATGATTGTGAGGCATTAAAGGCGGCTCATGCTGGGATATCTTTGTCTGAGGCCGAGGCATCTGTAGCGGCTCCCTTCACATCTAGAGTCAACCATATAGAATGTGTAGTCACTTTAATGAGGTATGTTAATACAAGACTGTTTTATGACCCATGTGTAAACACATGTAACATATGTTGTTACTAATAGGATATGTGCTGTGCGAAACTATGTTTATGACCCATGTGTTATAATATGAAGTAAACACATATAAAATATTTGGTCACACTAATGAGATATGTGTATTACAAGGAAACATTCTTGACCAATCAAACACGTGTGTTACTCAGTATTAAAAATGAGTGACTTATTAATGGGCAAATTGTATAATACTATGTAGCTGTCAAGCTAGCTTATAGCAGGTGTTTGGTTCTTCTTAATTGAATAGATGCACAAAAGTACCACATTATATAGTAATATGTTAACAGTAAAGCTTTAAGTAAATAATGTTTAATAATAATGTTTGATTTGTTTTTGCTAAGCATTGAGAAAGACAAGTACAATACATGTATTACAACAGTATGTAAACTGTGTGTTTGATATTTTAATTTATTATACTAGGGAAGGCAGGGGCGCTTTGGTAACGTCGTTTGGATGTTTTAAATACATGGCCTTGTACAGTTTTATACAGTTTATATCTGTGATGATTCTTTACACTGTAAGTATATTTATAGAATTTTCTTTAAATTCCAAACTTTCATCTTAAGCTCTCTAGATTTATTATTATTGCCAATAAAATTAATTTAAAAAAGTGAGAGATTCAGTTTTAAAAAACCCCAACTTATTAATGTTACACTTATGATATTTAATAATTCATCACCTTAGTGCAATAACAGATTAACTCTTTATATAATATTGTAGGTGTTAATCCTTTAACCCATTAATGCACTAAGGTGACAAATTGTCTTATTTAAACATATAACACATAATATCTGTGAGTTTTATTCAGGAATATTAAGCTTATCTGTTCAGGGGGAAAAGAATAAAGTGATAAGGATCACTGTACCACCGTTGTTGTACCAAAACTTAAATTTAGCACATTCATTATTTAAACATTTCAAAAGTAATCATCATGAAACTTGGAATGCTTGCTTATCACAAGGATCTGCAGCTATTTGACAAGGAGCATAAATCAGATGGGTATATTTCTGGAGTTATGTCCCTTTTTAACATAGAGTTTCTGTCAAAATTGGTAATTGGCTAATTGCCCTAATAAAAATCAGCTGTGCTCTTGTTAATGGTTTATTGTTTGGTCATTGTTTTGATCTTTTGTATATAGTTTAAAAACTTTATATTTTGGAATGTCAAAAACTAGGTATAGATTTTATGTATTTTTTGTTTGTAGTATGGTGTAAACCTTGGTGACATGCAGTTCCTGTATATAGATCTTGTAATTACCACAACCATTGCTGTCCTTAGTAAGTATCTGAACATTGTTCCTGTATATAGATCTTGTAATTACCACAACCATTGCTGTCCTTAGTAAGTATCTGAACATTGTTCCTGTATATAGATCTTGTAATTACCACAACCATTGCTGTACTTAGTAAGTATCTGAACATTGTTCCTGTATATAGATCTTGTAATTACCACAACCATTGCTGTCCTTAGTAAGTATCTGAACATTGTTCCTGTATATAGATCTTGTAATTACCACAACCATTGCTGTACTTAGTAAGTATCTGAACATTGTTCCTGTATATAGATCTTGTAATTACCACAACCATTGCTGTCCTTAGTAAGTATCTGAACATTGTTCCTGTATATAGATCTTGTAATTACCACAACCATTGCTGTCCTTAGTAAGTATCTGAACATTGTTCCTGTATATAGATCTTGTAATTACCACAACCATTGCTGTCCTTAGTAAGTATCTGAACATTGTTCCTGTATATAGATCTTGTAATTACCACAACCATTGCTGTACTTAGTAAGTATCTGAACATTGTTCCTGTATATAGATCTTGTAATTACCACAACCATTGCTGTACTTAGTAAGTATCTGAACATTGTTCCTGTATATAGATCTTTGTAATTACCACAACCATTGCTGTCCTTAGTAAGTATCTGAACATTGTTCCTGTATATAGATCTTGTAATTACCACAACCATTGCTGTACTTAGTAAGTATCTGAACATTGTTCCTGTATATAGATCTTGTAATTACCACAACCATTGCTGTCCTTAGTAAGTATCTGAACATTGTTCCTGTATATAGATCTTGTAATTACCACAACCATTGCTGTCCTTAGTAAGTATCTGAACATTGTTCCTGTATATAGATCTTGTAATTACCACAACCATTGCTGTCCTTAGTAAGTATCTGAACATTGTTCCTGTATATAGATCTTGTAATTACCACAACCATTGCTGTCCTTAGTAAGTATCTGAACATTGTTCCTGTATATAGATCTTGTAATTACCACAACCATTGCTGTACTTAGTAAGTATCTGAACATTGTTCCTGTATATAGATCTTGTAATTACCACAACCATTGCTGTACTTAGTAAGTATCTGAACATTGTTCCTGTATATAGATCTTGTAATTACCACAACCATTGCTGTCCTTAGTAAGTATCTGAACATTGTTCCTGTATATAGATCTTGTAATTACCACAACCATTGCAGTCCTTAGTAAGTATCTGAACATTGTTCCTGTATATAGATCTTGTAATTACCACAACTATTGCTGTCCTTAGTAAGTATCTGAACATTGTTCCTGTATATAGATCTTGTAATTACCACAACCATTGCTGTCCTTAGTAAGTATCTGAACATTGTTCCTGTATATAGATCTTGTAATTACCACAACCATTGCTGTACTTAGTAAGTATATTAACATTGTTCCTGTATATAGATCTTGTAATTACCACAACCATTGCTGTACTTAGTAAGTATATTAACATTGTTCCTGTATATAGATCTTGTAATTACCACAACCATTGCTGTCCTTAGTAAGTATATTAACATTGTTCCTGTATATAGATCTTGTAATTACCACAACCATTGCTGTCCTTAGTAAGTATCTGAACATTGTTCCTGTATATAGATCTTGTAATTACCACAACCATTGCTGTACTTAGTAAGTATCTGAAACATTGTTCCTGTATATAGATCTTGTAATTACCACAACCATTGCTGTCCTTTAGTATAGTATCTGAACATTGTTCCTGTATATAGATCTTGTAATTACCACAACCATTGCTGTACTTAGTAAGTATCTGAACATTGTTCCTGTATATAGATCTTGTAATTACCACAACCATTGCTGTCCTTAGTAAGTATCTGAACATTGTTCCTGTATATAGATCTTGTAATTACCACAACCATTGCTGTACTTAGTAAGTATCTGAACATTGTTCCTGTATATAGATCTTGTAATTACCACAACCATTGCTGTACTTAGTAAGTATCTGAACATTGTTCCTGTATATAGATCTTGTAATTACCACAACCATTGCTGTCCTTAGTAAGTATCTGAACATTGTTCCTGTATATAGATCTTGTAATTACCACAACCATTTGCTGTACTTAGTAAGTATCTTAACATTGTTCCTGTATATAGATCTTGTAATTACCACAACCATTGCTGTCCTTAGTAAGTATCTGAACATTGTTCCTGTATATAGATCTTGTAATTACCACAACCATTGCTGTCCTTAGTAAGTATCTGAACATTGTTCCTGTATATAGATCTTGTAATTACCACAACCATTGCTGTACTTAGTAAGTATCTTAACATTGTTCCTGTATATAGATCTTGTAATTACCACTACCATTGCAGTCCTTAGTAAGTATCTGAACATTGTTCCTGTATATAGATCTTGTAATTACCACAACCATTGCTGTACTTAGTAAGTATCTTAACATTGTTCCTGTATATAGATCTTGTAATTACCACTACCATTGCAGTCCTTAGTAAGTATCTGAACATTGTTCCTGTATATAGATCTTGTAATTACCACAACCATTGCTGTCCTTAGTAAGTATCTGAACATTGTTCCTGTATATAGATCTTGTAATTACCACAACCATTGCTGTCCTTAGTAAGTATCTGAACATTGTTCCTGTATATAGATCTTGTAATTACCACAACCATTGCTGTCCTTAGTAAGTATATTAACATTGTTCCTGTATATAGATCTTGTAATTACCACAACCATTGCTGTACTTAGTAAGTATATTAACATTGTTCCTGTATATAGATCTTGTAATTACCACAACCATTGCTGTACTTAGTAAGTATATTAACATTGTTCCTGTATATAGATCTTGTAATTACCACAACCATTGCTGTACTTAGTAAGTATCTAACATTGTTCCTGTATATAGATCTTGTAATTACCACAACCATTGCTGTACTTAGTAAGTATCTGAACATTGTTGTTAATAGTGTCAGAGGAATTATATCATTATGTCGAAATTTTGCATGATTATTGATGAGTGATGAAAATTACGTAATAAAAATAGATAAGCTATATTCTTTTGAAAAAGATAACGAACGGAATCTGTAATCTTCTTTTATGTGACATTATGCCCATCCAATGGTATTATACATGTAGTAAATGAAAAGTTGAAAGTCAAAATAAGTTTACATTTTGCCGTAATTCCTTCCTATATTATAATTTACTTTATATGAAATAACTCACATTGCCCTATTGAATTTCTATGAATATCCGTTAGAAATTACCTGTAATGTTTGATTAATAAAAAGTGTGGGACAGTCTTTTTATATTTATGGCAGGTTTATTAAGGTTTTAAGAAAGAAAGAAATAAAGACAGAAAGAAGTACATGTACATGTAGCCACTAACTTATTGTTTGTTTATTTTATCTATACTTTATCTTTATTATTTTATAAATTTTTGACAAATGTTATGTATTTTTAAATTTGATATGAAGTTCATACTATATTTAATGTCATTAAAACAGTTTAATGTAACATTTATTTTCTGTATTTCAGTGGGATATACGCAGTCATATGAACGATTATCAGTTCAGAGACCGGAGGGGTCACTTGTGAAACCATCTAATTTATTATCTATACTTCTACAAGTATTCTGTGCAGCGTTCTTGCGCCAGACTCGCACTTGTTATACCTTGAAAAAAGTCAATCATGGTAAATATATTAATAAAGTATACTGGCACACATGTGAACTTTTTTTGATGATCTAGTGGGGGATTTTTCTTCAAAAAAGAGGGAGATTTTAGAATTTTCAATAAACAAAGAAGGAAGTTCTGACATCAAAAATAAGGAGATTTTTTTTAATTAGTGAAAATACCCCTTATTTTAAGAAAAATCTTTGATAATATGGCTGCAGAAAGTGGGAGTCTCCTGCTAAAAGTGGGAGAGTTCACATGTATGATACTAGCACTGTGAAAACAAAGACAGATTTCCTTTCTTTCATTCTTAAATTTGCTGGCTTTGAAAAAAAGAAAATGATAAAGTGTTGTGATTAAGTTTATCTCTTTAGAAGCTTTTTAGAAGTATGAAAGATAAAAGGGACCTTTGCAGAAAAGTGGCTGGGGGTCTCTGTATTCAGATAATTTTCACTTTTAATTTGTATTTGTAAATATTATAAGCTAAACATTTTATAGGTTAAATTGATTTGCAAAGAATTATTTTATCTCTTTTATACATAATCTTTGACTCGTCAAGTTTTATAAAGAAATCATATATCCCTTGAAAATTAACCATTAAATTTTATTGCAAGTCTAACACATCTTGTTAAAGAATACTTATCGAAATACCATAAATTTTTACATAAAATTGAGACCCTGACTTATAAGAGTTCGGTCTTATGTACCAGTATATATGATTTGATAACAAAAACCATTATAAAAGTAAAGACAATTTTATATTTCATGCTTTCCCATGAACACCAGCTATTCTATTTTCACTCATATAAATATTGCATCTGGTGTTCACTCAGTGAAATATATTTCAATCTTACATGCAAAACAAACAAATATCCTCTATTATTTTGTTTAAAAGGTATGAGGTTGTAGAACCAGAAGGTGGAGAAATGAAGGTATCATGGGAGAGTACAGTGATATTTATATCATCATCATTTCAATACATTGTTGTAGCGTTCGTCTTCTCAAAGGGACCACCTTTCAGGAAACGTATATACACCAACGGTAAATAATGTTTTAATATACATGTTTATAATTATTGTATAAGTTACAATTTTTTAGCTTATCAAACTTGGTCAGGATGCTTGTCGAAGTAATTGCTTGGATGAGGTTAATGGGTCAGGCGAGCAATCTAGGGCCATTTTGGCCCTCTTGATTTTTTGACTGGTAATATGGCCCTTTATAAACAATTTTTTGGAAATATGACCTGGGCCACTACACTACCCTATATTGCAAAGAACTGTTTATATATGGACATATAACCTGTCAGAAATATTTAGAATAAATTTATGATACAGCAAGAATAATTTTTTAGAGAAAAAAGGAAGATTTCTTTATAAATTGACAACAGCTGTGTATATAAAACTATATGAACGTCATGATTATCCAATGAAAAGTGATGTTACAAACATGCAGTATTTTAAATGGGTTTTAATACCTTCACACTAGTGGAAATTATCGCTTTAATTTGCATATTAGTTCTAAAACTGATACCTATTATATATCATCATTACCATATATTTTTGAATACAGTTATTTGATTATTTGAATTTTATCTCTATGAAAACTAAAATTTACTAAAAAATTTAAATGTGTTGAATATTTATCTTTATATTTTACTGGATCTTTGTTGCTGAAGTTGATTGATTATTTAGAATTTAAGGAATATTTTGAACATATTGTTTACTGGATAATAAGATTTTTCCAAAATTTTACATAAAGTTAAGTAATATCTAGATTAATTATGTAAAATGTGTTAAAATTTTTATGATTTACTGGATATTTTAAGTTTAATGTTTAGGAAAAAAAAGAAGAATTGAATGTTTCAATACAATAAACTTAAACCTTCTGTAAGTAAAAATGACAATATAGAGCCAGGCCAGATTGAACATCCATGCAGTCTGAACCAGGCTCTATATTGTGGGCTTGATATCCCTGAAATTGATAATGGACAGTTCCAAATATGGACAATTTCAGTTCAGAACTTTAGCAGGTTAAAGGTTAAATCTATTACATTATTATGAGGTGATAAAAATTCTAAAAAAAAATTCAAGAAGGAAAATAAAAACGTTATTGCAAGTTTTAAATTCATTCATTGCCAATAAGTTGCTTAAATTTTATTGTCAAGTTTGATATATACCAGTTGGAAACAGTTTTATCAGAATCATTTGTAATGTTTCTTTATTATTGATTCAGAGGTAATATTTTAACTCTTCTTGTCTGTATTTTCAGTTCCATACCTGGCTAGTCTATTGTTGTTAACTGCGTTTTCTGCTGGCTTAGTACTGTTGCCATGGAAACCTTTAATGGACTTTTTTACAGTAAGTTGATACTTTTTTACAAATATAGAAATGTTAAATTTTCTTTGCATAAAAAAATTGTTTCAGTATTTATACTGTTGTAATCATATGACTTTAATTTGAAACCCATAAAAAAACGGAATACATTTCATTAAATAGTCATGTGTTTGAAAAGATAATCTCCACTCATATGGTAAGTGGGGCCTATAAGGCCAAGTGGTCAAGGTCAATTCATTTTAATTACTTTTCTCTAACCACTGTTGGTTCAAGTATTGCAAAAAGGGCGGGAATTTAAATCATGCGAAGAAGTCGTCCACTACTTGAAATATTTAATATTGGGAAACGATTCACTTACTTGAGAGCTTTGTGTTAAGGCTATACACTACATAATTTTCATTTGAGGAAGCTATGCACTATTTGTGTGAATTTTCATGTGAGGAAGCTATACACTACATGTACTTGAATTTTTATGTGTGGAAGCTATACACTACATGTACTTGAATTTTTATGTGTGGAAGCTATACACTACTTAAATTTTCATGTGCTTTTTAGCTCGACTATACGAAGTATATGGAGAGCTGTCCTACTCGCCCCGGCGTCGGCGTCCGCGTCCAGATTTTAGATTAAAGTTTTGGTGCAGTAAAATATTTTTCACTATAACTTTGTCATTTCTTAAGGTATCAACTTCAAACTTCAAATATATGTTCCTTATCATCAACCACATCTGTATGTGACAAGGTTCATAACTCTAGCACCAATATTTCTGATTTATTCCCCTTGAAATTAGAATTTTTCTTAAAGATACTATTTTTTACGGGATCAACCTCATACTTCAAATATATGTACCTTATCATCATCCCCATCTTATGTGACAAAAGGGTCATAAAACTCTAGCACCAATATTTTCAGATTTATCTCCCCTTGAACTTAGAATTTTCCCCTCAAAAATACTATTTCTTACTGTTTTCTTCTTTATTTCTTAAGGGATCAACCTCATACTTCAAAATATATTTACATTATCATCATCCCCATCTTATGTGACAATGTTCATAACTCTAGCACGCAATATTTTTAGATTTATCTCCCTTTGAACTTAGAATTTTCCATACAAAATATTATTTTTTACTGTAACTTATTTTATTTCTAAAGGGATCAACTTCATACTTCAAATATATTTACGTTATCATCATCCACATCTTATGTGACAAGGTTCATAACTCTAGCACCAATATCGCAAGAATTATCTCCCCATAAACTTAGATTTATTTACTAGAAAATGTTATTTTTTATTTTAACTTTTTATTTTTAAAGGTATCTACCTCAAACTTCAAATACTTATTCCTTATAATCATTTACATTTTATGTGACAATGTTCATAAACTCTTGAAGCAATATTTACAGATTTATCTCCCTTTGAACTCAGGATTTTCTTTAAGAAATATAATAACTTCTTTATTTTTTAAGATATCTACTTCAAACTTCAAATATATATTTCTTATCATTACACAAATGTTGTGTGGCAAGGTCCATAACTCTTGCATGACTATTTCTAGAATTATTCCCCTTGCTCTTGGAATTTATGTTAACAAATGTTATATTTTAACTATAACTTAATACTTAATTATACATAATTGATTTTTCTTTCATAGTTTTGTCCTCCTTACTGCGTCCAGCATTTTATTAGTCGAGCTTCGCTGTCTCCTGTGACAGCTCTTGTTAATTTTCATGTGAGGAAGCTATACATTACATGAATTTTCATGTAAGGAAGCTATAGCTTTAGAAAGGTTAGTGAACTGATTCTACCCAGGTGCTAAGTTGTGTCATAAATTTCGCACAGAGGTGCACCTCAGAGCCTTCACCACACAAGTTGAAGTCCTGAAACATTGAATGGACTGTTCCAAATTCCAAGCAGCAGGTCAGATCCATTACGTAAATTCAGCGGGTTAATATATAAGATGTGTGTTGTTATTTGCAGCTGATGAGACTAGACCAGAAACCTGTGATGTTTAGGGCTCTCCTCCTTACAATAGTTGCGGCTCATTTTATTGTTGCAGTTATTATAGAGGTGAGTATATCACAGTAGCATGCTTTTTATGTGTCCTTGTGTGGTACATCACTTTATGGTGTTGTTTTTGTTATTACTAGAGTTTGAAATGAGTTATTGTGATCAAACTTGGTATGCAGCAACCTTATGTGGAAATCTTGGTTGGGATTGCCCTTGATCCCCTAGGGTTCAAGGTCAATGTTACTAAAAATGGAAAAATGGTTTCTGGACAATAACTAGAGCAAAGAATGAGACATTGTAATCAAACTTAGTATATAGCAAACTTTTATGAAGGTCCCAGTTGGGATTGCTTTTTGACCTCCTGGGGTCATGGTCACTGTAATAAAAAAATTAGAAAAATGTTTTCCAGACAGTAACTAGAGTTAGGAATGAGATAATGTTATCAAACTTGGTAATAAGCAAGCTTGTATGAAGGCCCCAGTTAGGATTACTTTTGGACCCATGGGGTCAAGGTCATAGTTACTTAAAATAGAAAAATGGTTTCTGGAAGAGAGGCAATTAATTGCAATAATTTTGCTTCAGACCACTTATTTTTCAAAACGTTAAGGATGCTCGGGGGGGAGGGGTATGAATCATCTTTACTTTAGTGATAGCTCTAGTGTAACTCTCAAAATATTTATCTTACCCTGTTAAGACTAATTTAATTCACCATATTTTTTTCTTTCTACAGTACCTTGTAACTGACAACAAAACAATGAAATCCTGTATAAAACGTTGTGTCCAGTGTCTACGACCAAAGAAGAGTCAGTCTGCATACAAGAGAGTAGAGCGTGAATTGGTACTTGCTGATTGGCCACCTGTAGGTCAGGTGACTTACGCACCAACAGTTTGTGGTGATGCGGATCCTACAAGTATAATGCTAGACAACATGCAAGCTGATGCTACTGTCACTAGATGACATAGGATAATTTCCAGTCCATTTCTATTTGTTAAAAATATTGATAATTTACTTTACGGAAACATTGCAAATTTAAAAAATATTTATGGATTTGGTTCACAAATATTTATACCATGTTAAATATTCAGTTAAGAAAGTTTTAACAAATTATTACATTGTATTTTATCAATAAGTTAGTGCTAAGAGTGCAAAAAGGTCAATGCTGTAGTTATTACCTTTTTGCACTTTTTTCTCTAAATATAGTTGAAAACTATTCTATTTAAAGACATGATGTAAAACATGCTCATTAAAGGAACTCCACTGAGGTCAAAAAGCCTAAAATCATGAAATTTGATTAAGTAGATCAAGTGAAGCACATAAAATGGAAAAATCTGTAAAGGATAATAAAGAAATTTTGTTATAATTAAATTGAATATTGATTTTTTTGCGTGATTCTTAGCCTTATTTGAATGGAAAGCATTGCAACGCTTTTCAATTTTGGGTCATTTTGCACAATAAAAATGATTATTCTTGAAAAACTGGATGAAGGAATGGTCCCTGAAAATTAATTCTTGAAAAATTGGATGGAAAATTAATTCTTGAATAATTGGATGAGGGAATGGCCCCGGAAAATTTGTACACAAGTTTATGATCCAGACCTATATCAAATCATACACAAATCTCAGGAAAATGCATCAAGTCCTGTCTTGTTAAAAAATCTCAGCGGAGTCCCTTTAATATATGTTACTGTGTCAGTTTTATTGTCAAAAATAATGTTATAATGTCATTTAAATCAGTCATATTGGCTAAACATATATAATGCTCATAGAGCCATTTTAGATGGTGATTATTTTTATGTTAATGTATATATGATATGAGGGACGTTTAATGTTGTTTAATGTTTTAATTTTTATAAACTTGTCACAGTTGAAATTCATACCACTACTCTCTACAAAACCCACCTTTAATTATTTAAGTTCTATTTTTGGTTAAAAAAATTAGGCAGTTTCTGTTTGCAACTTAACTGTTGTACATATGGAAAATAGATGTTCCTACTCTGGTGCGTGTTCTTGCCTAAAATAACACGGCGTAGAGGGATACCTGACGTCTTCCTACTGCAGTATAGCTGTAGAGTTACCATATGACGTTTACAGTGTTGGTGCAACGTAAAAACCCATCTAAATAATTTTACATTATCTTAGTTAAAATCAGAAACAAGTTTTTGGCATATTTCAAGAATTGAAATTCGGATCTTGTTAAAAAATTTCTAAACTTGGAAGCTCAAGATTGGTTACAAAAATAAAAATCAAATTTTTTGAGAAAGAATGCAAATATTCACAATTATCCCTGAGTCTGCTTGGGGGGGGGGGGACAACTGAGTCTATGCATGCAGACCAAATATCAGCCCCCACATCTGTATCATCGGCACTGATTGCTGGTTAATAAAATGCTGTTTATGTAAGATGTCAGATAGGACTACTGATAATGATAACTGTTTAATTACCATTTTTTCAACTCGTTACAATCTGATTAACCTAATTGATACTAAGTAATTACTATTTTTTTACCTTATAAACTGCTATTTTTGTTTCTTTTAGACACATTTTTGTCTTCTTTTTTTTGTGAATTTCAAGTGCCTAAGACTTAATTAATTAAATTCTTATATAAGCCTAGTAGCAGTATCTTTTCCTAGGGGGGTTGGGGGAGGGTATTTTCCTCTCGATAATTTATACGGGAAACACCAACTGTGTTGATTTGTGATAATGTCCTCTGATTTGTAATAACCTGCTTGACTTGGTACCTCAGTTTTCTTTGTCGAAAATGAGTAGGGGTGGTGGCGTTTATTAGGGAAAGGGGTGTGTATTACTATTAGACAGTATGCGGTAAATCTCTTTATTTGTTTACTATGAATATTGTTATAAAGTAGATTTCCTTTCTAAATTTTCAAAAGAAAAAAACAACAACAAAAAATAGAATAAATTATAGAAAATAGAATAAATCATTTAAAAATTAGAAAAAATCATGTAAAAATTAGAATATATCATGAAAATTAGAATATATTTAAAAAATCAAAATAAATCTTAAAAATTAGAATAAATCATGAAGAAAATTGGCATGATGATTCTTTACAGTGAACTATAAACTTCTGTTTAAACTGACAGGTATTGAGATTTTTATGAAGTGTGTACTCTATGATATTTTGTTATTTCCATTTATTAAGAAATTGTTAGTTAATGATTAGGTATTGTAATAATTATGTGAAATTTAATGCAAATGTGAATTTCTGACTAATTCAATGAGGGTTATTTAGTATGTATTTTGTATTATAAGGGTCCATTATATAATATGCGCCGCGTCTCGACAAAACCAACATAATGGGTTTGCGACCAGCATGGATCCAGACCAGCTTGCGCATCCGCGCAGTCTGATCAGGATCTATACTGTTCGCTATCAGTTTCTCTACTTGTAATAGAGTTGGTAAGGGAACAGCATGGATCCTGATCAGACTGCGCGGATGCGCAGGCTGGTCTGGATCCATGCTGGTCGCAAACCCATTATGTTGGGTTTTGTTTTGACGCGGCTCATATGTAGTTAATTTGATCATACATGGTAATGCATATTTGTTTCTTTTTATACCCCCGCACAACAAAGTTGTAAGGGGGGTATACTGGAATCAGCTTGTCCGGCTGTCCGTCAGTTTTTTCTTGTCCGCCCAATAACTTAAGATTCCTTTGACCCTTAGTCTTCATATTTGGCATGGAGGTTAGTCATGATTAGTAGATGACCCCTATTGATTTTGAGGTCACTAGGTCAAAGGTCAAGGTCACAGGGGCCTTGACTTCAAAAAGCTTGTCCGCCCAATAAAGTAAGATTCCTTTCACCTACAGTCGTCATATTTGGCATGGAGGTTAGTCATGATAAGTAGATGACCCCTAATGATTTTGAGGTCACTAGGTCAAAGGTCAAGGTCACGGGGGCCTTGACTTCAAAAAGCTTGTCCGCCCAATAACTTAAGATTCCTTTGACCCACAGTCTTCATATTTGGCATGGAGGTTAGTCATGATTAGTAGATGACCCTATTGATTTTGAGGTCACTAGGTCAAAGGTCAAGGTCACAGGGGCCTTGACTTCAAAAAGCTTGTCCGCCCAATAAAGTAAGATTCCTTTCACCTACAGTCGTCATATTTGGCATGGAGGTTAGTCATGATAAGTAGATGACCCCTAATGATTTTGAGGTCACTAGGTCAAAGGTCAAGGTCACGGGGGCCTTGACTTTCAAAAAGCTTGTCCGCCCAATAACTTAAGATTCCTTTGACCCACAGTCTTCATATTTGGCATGGAGGTAAGTCATGATTAGTAGATGACCCCTATTGATTTTGAGGTCACCAGGTCAAAGGTCAAGGTCACAGGGGCCTTGACTTCAAAAAGCTTGTCCGCCCAATAACTTAAGATTCCTTTGACCCACAGTCTTCATATTTGGCATGGAGGTAAGTCATGATTAGTAGATGACCCCTATTGATTTTGAGGTCACCAGGTCAAAGGTCAAGGTCAGGGGCCTTGACTTCAAAAAGCTTGTCCGCCCAATAACTTAAGATTCCTTTGACCCACAGTCTTCATATTTGGCATGGAGGCAAGTCATGATTAGTAGATGACCCCTATTGACTTTGAGGTCACCAGTTCAAAGGTCAAGGTCACAGGGGCCTTGACTTAAAAAAGCTTGTCTGCCCAATAACTTAAGATTCGTTTGACCCACAGTCTTCATATTTGGCATGGAGGTTAGTCATGATTAGTAGATGACCCCTATTGACTTTGAGGTCACCAGGTCAAAGGTCAAGGTCACAGGGGCCTTGACTTCAAAAAGCTTGTACGCCCTATAACTTAAGATTCCTTTGACCCACAGTCTTCATATTTGGCATGGAGGTGAGTCATGATTAGTAGATGACCCCTATTGATTTTGAGGTCACCAGGTCAAAGGTTAAGGTCACAGGGTCTATGACTTCAAAAAGTATGTCTGCCCAATAACTTTAGATTCCTTTGACCCACAGTCTTCATATTTGGCATGGATGTTGATCATGATTAGTAGATGACCCCTTTTGATTTTGAGGTCACTGGATCAAAGGTCAAGGTCATAGGGACTTTGACTTCAAAAAGTTTGTCCACCCATTAACTTAAGATTCCTTTGACCCACTGTCTTCATATTTGGCATGGATGTTGATCATGACTATAAGGTGACCCCTATTGATTTTGAGGTCACTGGGTCAAAGGTCAAGGTCACAGGGACCTTGACAAAAAAAAAGCTTTTCTTCTTAATTGCTAAAGAATGTCCTGTCCGCAATGTATTGATTTTGACATTTTCACATTTGAAGCATGTAGAATACATAACTTAGCAATGCACTGGCTTAGTAACCTCAGATTTGGCAGGGAGGTTGTCCTTGAGCTCTAAATGGCCACTGTTGATTCTGACAAAGTGGTATGCGGGGGTATTCACGCCATGATAGTGGCAGTGCTAGTTCTTTTTGAATATGAATGTGTGTATTCACCACCTTTGTTTTTTTTTTAATTCAGGTGCAGTAACTCTTGTCTTAAAACAATCAATGGGCATAATTATAAAATATTCTACAATTTTATAACAAATTATTAATTCTATAAATAACAAATATGTACTTGTATTTTGTGTTTATATTTTAATCATTGATAGCATTCCAGTTTATTATTTTAAATGTCCCTTATTGTACTTGCTCTACATTATGTTTTATATACTTTCTCCATGTTATTACATACCAATTATCAAAATATTTATATTTAAATGACCCATTAACCCTCAGATTTCTTTTTTCATTTTCTTTATAAATTATCTTTTTACAGTTTCTAAATAGTTACTCATTGACCATATAGATACACTGTCTTTTGCTCCTTTTCTCTTTGGTAATCTGTATAATAATAGTAATTAAGTTCAGTGATACCCAGATTATAATTTTTTGGTCGTAAAATTTTCATCCTTGGCCTAAAATAATATTGTTTGTTTCCCCTCCCACTACCTTACTGACAAAAATCACTGGATACGGCCAGACCAAACAGACTGAACAAAAGTCAACAAATAAAAAAAACAACTGTATTTTACTAAAAATGATTTAAGTAAAATATACCAAAACATTTTAGTCTGTTATGTTCACAGGAATGGAATTTTCATGATTATTACTAGTATGTATGACTGTGATTGAACCATGCAATTTAAGGACTGTATTTAATTATATATATAGCTTAGGTGCCTATTTTACTCATTTTAATTAACTGCCAAAATAGATTTGTGTAATATAGGGATTACATGTAGTAAAAGACAATAGTCATTATATTAGTAAAATTAGTATTTTAAACATTTTGGGGATTCAATGTGGCACACTTTTGTTACTATAGTTAGGACAATATTATGACAGTACCCCTGATTTATATTATTGCAGGGCTGTTCAATTAACAGTGATTGTTTACATCTCACCTTGGTACTGGTGTAACATTTATAGTGTGTAAAAATATTATTTGTTGCTTACAACATCGTATTTCATCAACATTTAAATAATTATAATTATTAACCGAGAGTTATTGGCCATTGCTACCAGTATAGAACCAGGCTAGCCAGCAGAATCCTACCGTCTGACCAGGCTTTATACTGGAGGCAGCTTTAATGTTTCGAATTGGGTAATGAAATCCCTAAAATTGAATTGAACTGTTCCTAATTAAAAAAAGGACAAGTCCATTATACAAATTGGTTTAAGGTCGAAACATTTAAGGTGGGAATTAGCCTATGTAGATGTCAGAAAGGTTAAAAATTTATTAATAAGAAACTTTATTTCCTATCTATTTCTGTCTCACAATTTCAGGAAATCAATGTCTATTTATTTATGAATCACCCATTTATATTCATATAGGTAGTGGAAATGTATAGATGCCTGTGATTTTATGTATCATTTTGATTTTTTTACGCAACACAATAGTTATTATAATAATAAATTTGATGATGATATTGTGAAGGTCACATGTGCAATGCTATGATACTATGTTTATTTTTTTATTAATTTATTTTGATTTTATTTTTTGTCATCATACTTTCATATTGTATAGAATCTCACTTGTGTTATTTTCTGATTATATGTAAGAAATTAACAAACTTTCTAAAGGTAGTTGTGACCAAGACTTGAACAAACTTGCACATAAGAACAAGGTATATAGGTATATTTTATTTATTTTAAAATTATACCTGTAACCGTGCAAACAACAACATGTATGGGGGGCATCCACAATAGAGCGGTTCCGGTCGTTGACTTAGAACCACTCGCCCCTCACCACTGTGGGTTCGAATTCCCACAATTGACTTTGGATTCTTTCATGTAAGGAAGCTATCCAACTTGCATTATAACAATTTTATATAATGAAATAGCCTCGTAGTGGAATTACATTGTTTTTGTTCATTTGAAAACCTTCATAAAAGTACATATTAGATATGCTTTTGTTTCAATTGGAGTTATTTACATATACATTCTTTCTGCAATCTATCATTCCACTCTTTGTTTTGTATTTATTTGTGCTTGAATGTTTATTTTGTTTTAGCATAGATTACCCTCTTAACATCACTGTTACCAAAATTCTGAAATTATATGCTTGCTTTTTTTTTTATTTTAAAAAAACTAGATTAAACAACTATTTCATTGTTAATTGTAATTCACAACTAGATTTAACAATTAGCTGTGCATGTTCACTTCAGATTTTATTTTACTGCTCACATGCTTATTATCCCCCGCCGAAAAGGCGTCAGGGGATATAGAAATAGTCTCCGTCCGTCCGACCTTCCGTCCTTCCGTCCGTCCAACATTTTTGTCCGGAGCATATCTCTAAAAGTATTTTAGTAATCAACTTGAAACTTCATAGGTGGATAGACCTCATTGAGGAGGAGTGCAGTGCACAAGAATGATAACTCTACCCTGCATAATTTTTTTAGTTATTGCCCTTTGTTATTTT